GGGCTAATACGGCGATTTTTAAAATTTCGTATCTCGATAACTATTCGTCCAAGCGCAAAATAGTACAATACTTTTCTGTTTGTCTTAGTCCCCTCTACCTTCCCATGACCGGACGTCAAAGTCTTGCGTAGCACCCTGTATATGCATGTTTCACGCGGCGCATATAAAGAAAAATCTCTTACAAAGACAAACAGCAATAGCACAAAAGCATCATTGCATACGCATCTAGCGTGTGAGTATGTGTTTCTTTAAATACGTTCCCACTATTTCGTATATCCGGAGTATACCTACATTCCGCACGCAAATGTATAAGATGCTAAAACGTTTGTAAGGTTAAAGTGCCAATGCCCAGACATGCACTTTTATCTGAACATCGTTTTTTTTGGTCTTTAAATACGGATCCTTAAACTTTCAGCCATGAACATACACACATATCACAAGACACGGTAGTGTCTCACACCAAGTATAAGCGTAGCTAGAATCTTTAATATACATAGAGAAAAATCTCCTATGATAATATAGGCTCCTAATATGAGATAGCGGAGTTTCTGCTAAATTAATTGGCATCGTCTGTTGGTTGCACCATAAATTAATTGTAGCAAAAAGAGATTTGTGATTGAATTTGGAAATTGAAAATCTGCTATCTCATAATAGAGGACTTTTCTGAGGATATGTCGTTTCGCGCATTCTCTCGAAATGCACATGTACGTGCGAGGAAAACAATAACTGCGGTTTGCTCCGTACATTGTTCGCGGCGAATGCAAAAATGCAAAAAGAATGTACGAGGGTATACGTAAACGCGATCAAGGCAGCAAGCGAAGTGTCGTAAGAAAAATCGCACGCGGTATCCGCGATAAATCTACGGCAAGAGTCGGTGACCAGTTCGGAGTACAGATCCGTTTTTCCTGCGAGAACCGCGCTGTATAATACGGAAGATATAAAAGCTAAAGGGTGTCGAGTGGTCCGGAGATTTCGGCTTACATTGACGGACGTCGTGAAGGAAAATGTCCAGGTGATGACATGGCTGCCGTCGAATATTCGAAAACTGATTGACGAGACCAAGCACAAGTGAACAGCACGATGGATGAATAGATACTGTCGCAGTGTTACGATTCGTGGCCGCCAGCCCGGTCCCTCTTGTTTATTACCGATTCGTTCGGTTACAAAGACGTTCTACCGAGGTATGCGAGTTATGCTGTTTTTATAAACACATCTTATACACAGTGAAGTAAACATGTTACGTGTATATCTATCCGCGCGGTTGACACGTGAAACAATCAGATCGCAAGATAACGTAAAATTCTAACGAGTAAACAAAGAATGAATTAAACTATGATTAACGTGAAACAATTGATGAAAACGGGCCTTAGAGAAATAACTGATATCAACAGACTAAAGCTATAACGGCACACGATACTATTTTCCTTATTGAATTGCTTACGAGAGCCAATCAAGATTTAGCCTTGAGTCACCCGATCTAAAACTCTGCGTCTTCATTGGTTCTCGTAAGCAATCCAGGGGGAAAAAAATAGTATCGTGTATCGTTGGCTTAATTCGTCCGTTCACTTCAACTTCCGCAATAGAAACCAACGTTTCGCGCAAGTTTCACGCGGCGCATACCATATAAATAAAATTCTCTTACAACGACAAATGCAATGAGACAAACGCATAATGCACGACGTGTAAATACATGTATTTTTAAATATGTTTCTTTCAGTGCGTAAATCCGGAGAACCTATATTTTCATTTTTGCCTCGTCTGTTCATTTGAGACTCGATTGCGATACGTCGTTTGGCGCGTTCTCTCGAAATACGCGTGCACGTGCGAAGAGGAGGACGGCGGTTTGTTCAAATGGACGTGGTGAATGTAAAAATGCGTGTAGAAAACACGGCGTATAATGAACAAAGAACGACGTTTTCAGTGTACCTAGCGCCTAAAGTTAAGCAGGGTGTAGTAACAAATAAATATAAGAAGTTAAACATGTGTCCTTTCATATCCTGCCTTTTATCCTTTTCCTTAATGCCTTCCGGGATTTGAATACAGCTCTGTTCCAGTCTCGTTCACCGTAGACTAACATTTTCACAGTAAAATATTGATTATTATTAAACTTCAATCTCGTTTGTAAAAAAGTTTTCAACGTTGACAGGGCCTTGGCGGAGTTTCATGTGTATCAGATATATCTATATCCTGTGGACAGTTGCAAGATAATATACATAAGGTTCTACAAACGAGGAGGTGGAACTTGTGGTTGATACTGTTGTGGCAATTGACCCTGGCGGGCGTCGCGTGCGTGAGGGAGCTTCGCGCTCGTACACGCGCAGCCCGGGATTTCAGAATTTCTCGGCCAAACTTTTCGCATGCATAAATCGCCGTGTTACTTCACACGTAATGCAATCTCAGATCGCATGCTTCGTTTTGCGATTCGTTACTGTTGTCTATCACCTTGCCTGCGGCTTTCGTGTATCCGCCTGATTAACATACACGGGATTCGCAAAAATAGCCGCGACGAGACTGCGCTGCCTAGAATCGAAGCTCCAAAGAGAGACGCCAAAAATTTCATTCTTCGAACATTGTATTCACTTCAAGTTCTAAATTAAAGAAAAAGGAGCGTGCCTCCCGTATATTTTCTGAATATAATCTTAGGTTCCCAGAAATTTTATTTTAGAACGAGTCATCTCAACGTGTATCCGAAAATACAAATATAAGTCCAATAAAAATCTAGAATTTAGGCCCGATTGTACCAAACGTCGCTTAACTTTCCTGGATTAAGTCATGTCTGTCTCTTTCTAGAGTAACAGTGGAAAGAGACAAAGAACGAACTAAGTCGAGCTTAAAGTTAAGCGACGTTGGTGAAACCGGGCCTTAAAATTCATCAGAGTTGATAAAAGTATCAAATTTAAGTTCAAACTATTTTAATTAATCCAGTTTTCTAACAAGAATATTCTACAATGTCGCCAGCAGTAATTAGCAACGTCAGTGTTTTCTTGACCATATCTGGCATTTTTAATAATATAGAAAATTTATTGCGAAAAATATTACCAGGGTTTGAACCTGGACCTCCCTACACTCCAGGCGGGCGCCTCACCAATTCGACCAGTAGGCATGCGGTAAGATTTGTCGCAATAACAGTACAAAGATGTTGTCTTCGCGTCTATTTTTCGACTTTAATGAAATTTTCCTTTTAATTAAATTTCTCAGAGATGTAATTAAAAATATCAAATTGAAATTTATGATGGTATCCGTGTTACGTTAAAACATATAAGCAACTCTCTCCCTTTTCCTCTCTAGAAGTCCTTCCAAGTTTCGTTTCCACGAATAGAATATCCGAAACTTACTTCTAAAGGTTCTAAAACCGCTGGCGACGTGTTCAGTGACATTTGCTATTATCTCTCGGCGAGGCGTAAAATTATCCTCGCGACGGGCCATTGTCATCGCCGCGGCTTGCGGGCCACTCGCGGTCGGGCAAATCGAAATTTAAAGCCCCGCGCGGACTCGTTACGGGACGAATTTACGTCGCGCGAGCCGCGGTGACATTTAAATCTCCCTGTCGCCGGTGTTTTTCTCAGTTCGACGCGCGCCATTGTCCGATCATCGGCACGCGCCCACTTTTCACCGGTCGCCTTTATCAATCGCGCCCGATCCAAGAAACGACCGGCAGAAATAGCATTCGCGCACCTCGCCGGCTCCGACACCTCGTCCCCGCATGAAGCCGCAGCGCTGTCTCCAGATCGCTTTAGTGCGGGCAGGTACGATGCGCGACAATAATTCGAAAGTGACCGCCGTCCACGCGAACCACGTGCGTTGTATGTGCGCGTTATATTTCCACAATGCAATCGCTAACGGCGGATCGAGCGTGATCTGGGGCATCGTCTCGACGTTAATAGGCGGATCATCAATCGCGCGGACGTCGAGCAACGTTATGTAAATGCTTCTCACCCGACACACGACCGTTCTGGTTAACGATGACACTGACGGCCATTACCGACGGCTTTTAGCCAGAAATCGACAATCCGGGTAAGTTCAATTTTGGAATTGGCAAACATCGGCGAACGGGACCTCTTGCCAGTCGTCTTGCATCCAAGGGAGAATCCCGGATTTACAAAAAAAACAAGCTTAATTAGCAAGAACGTGAAAAGTTTTCGCTTCCGTCTCTGCACGTTTACGCACTTACATTAATCTCGAAATCGAGCACTGGGTCGTACACCTCTAATATAAATATATATATACTTTTTTATTTATATTAGAAGTGTACGACCCAGTACTCGAAATTAATGTAAACGTAGGCATGTAGGGACGGAAGCGAAACCTTTTTTTTAAACGATTTTGTGTGCTAGAAAAGAGCCCAAGGAAAATTGAGAAGTCAAGATGACGTCACATTGACCAAAATATGACATCAATTTGGCCAATGTGACAACAAATTGACATCGTCTTGACTTATCATTTTCCTCGGGAGCATCGTGGAGCTCGGTGCAATCACAAAGTCCCGATCTCTCTGCTTTTAATCATACACCTCTCGGCGTAGAAAAGATAACATTGATAAGGATATCAGAAGCGCTTTCGGCTTATAAAGAGCTTTTTCGAAACAGCGGAAGTGTCGCCCCGGCTAATATCACTAGATTGATTTGCGCTGGATTTGCTCAGCTGTCGCACTCGGAGTCAAGCGCGATAACATCTCGCTGGCGTGCGATCACGAATCAAGAAGGAAAGCCGCGACCGCTGCGTTTCGGGAAAAATAGAACGTGTTTCAGGAAAGTTACGCATCTTTATTGTAGACAAGTGTTCCCGCTCGACGCCAAAAGTTCTTTTAACAGTCTCGACCCAGCATATCATCTTGAAAGAACCTCCAGAAAACGAGGACAAGGGGGGGAGCCGTTACAGCGGTCACGGATGTTATATTTTTAGTTATAGCGGATTCTGTAATTGATCTTGAATCATCGAAGTCGCGAGCACGTGCAATGCGGCGACCGCGTGCCACGGCGTAAAAATACAGCGAGAAACGAAAAAAAAAGAACCGAGGGGCTTAATTCTGTCTCGCCCCGCACAATTCCGATCGGACGCCGTAATTTCCACGGCGTGTCGCCGATTTCTTTCGCCGCTGAAATTTCAGTCGACGTGTCGCGTTACCAGAAATTGACTTCGCAGAATTCTCGCTGTGAAATTGTAGATTAAACAACTTAAAATAGAAGAATAGAAAAAAAACCGCGTAGAGGGGCAAGAAATAAAATTTCCACCGAGAGAGAAAATAAAGCTGACGACGTCACTCGGGATAAGGCGACGATTTCGGATTTCGACTTCGACATACGAAAATAATCCTCCAGTTTATTCGTGGAAAAAGAAACAAATCGATGCGAAATTTATTTTCGGGGCTAAAATTATGCTCGTCAAGATTCTGCCGATCTGAATTCGCGCCCGCCGTTAGAACTAGTGCTTTTGTCTTGCCGCCAAATGACGTTCGCCCGCTCTAATCAATCTCGAAATTCGCGTCCCGGCGGTACGTACGGATACGCTAACGCGCAATAAATCGCGATGCAATTAAGAACCCCGCCGCGGGCCTTTACATGTATCTGGGAATGCGACGCGCCTCCTCCAAATTCGCCGCGGAGGCGCGCATTCTAATTTTCCATCAGCCGGGGCACCGTAACACCTGGCTGAAATTCGCGCCTGCGTGATGACGAGGCCTCGCTCCAGCCCTCGTGAGAGACTTTCGATGCGAGGGTGCAATTTAAACTTTGGCCCAGTAGCCAATCAACCCCTTGACGAGCGAACGATCCCTGAGAAGTCGGCCGGTGGTGTGAAAGTCAGGCTCGATACCGCTCGCGCAAATGGTGCGATTCGACCCGGCAAGTTCGCTCGCCGCCGCGCCGCTTCCAAAGAGAACCCTCGCGAGGATCGCATTTCGATCGTAATTCAAGAATAGAAGACACCGGTTGCGCAAAGGTAACGGATTTACGATCGCCGTGCATCTGTTCGTCCCGACGGTTCCGATCGCGCCGAAAAGCCAGGGGCACCTTGTTTATCCTCAAGATATCCGGAGCGACACGATTACGCGAGACGATTAATGCATTTTACACGTATCGCTTGTTATTTGGAATTTGATAGCATAATTTGTAAACGATAAAACGCTTTGCATAAACGCGCGGCTGGAGGTGATAAGCTCGAGATAACGTTTTATAACTTTCCGCACGGAGCAGCCGAGTGAGCGAAGAATACAAGACTCCACCGGCTCTCGTCGCTCTAAGGCGCCTAATTATGTGATACGGATTTAGAACACGCATGGCGTAGTAGGTATCTGGCTCGAGTACAGATACTCAAAAGAATCACGTTTCAGACCGTGACCCAGAGGCGCAATCGCGGGCTTAGTCTGACAATGAGCGGAAAGGTCGTGTTAAACTTTTCTCGCGGTAGAGTTTTGCATCGAATTTCGATCGCGATTATCAGTGTCCACGTATCGACGAGTGTGTCGAGTATATTTAAGTAAAAGAATTCCTTTCAATTCATTCGTTGTCTGCCCAACAAGTTTCGTGCGTCTTGTTGATCACGCTAGAATTTTTTGTAATTTTATTAAAATCACACATGAAGTAAATTAAACCTGAAACGAAAGAGATTTTCAGGAAGCTGTAATAAATCTCTAGAAAGTCTCGGGAAACTATAATAAAATGTAAATAACTGTCAAAGACAAAGAAGACGTTTATGAGAGATGGGGAGCGGATTTAGGGTGAAGTGATCAAATTCAGATCGGGTTTGAAAACCCTCTTCTCCATTGATAACAGTTGCTTTCAGTGAAATTTGTTCTACGTCAAAATGTCGATCGTGTCCTCTAATTCCAAAAAGATAATTTCATCAGTTTATTCCGAAAAGCCGGCGACAAATTGAATCGTTCCTCTGAATTTGATCTATATTAGAACCCGAGGACCAAAGAACCAGTAATTTTCGAAACTATCCGCGTTTTTTCTGCATGAAACAAAATAAGAAGATTCAAAAATTTTAAAGTTTATACCCCTTTCTACAAAATTTCATAAAAATGTTTGCAATAAATCGAAAGCAGTAAATAAAATTGCTAATTGCTTGACCTTCAAAAAACGTTTCGACGGAGCCGCCACATTTACTGTCATTTATGCGCTTCATTTTCTTTCGTCGATGCCTTTTACGATATCGACAATACATAGTAGCATAAAGTTGTAAATATATAAGCGAGCAAAATTTAAGTGAATCACTTCAAAATAATTATTTTCGTCAAACTTTTCATCCGCGTTTGGTCATCTTACTCTGAAAATTTTTGACCGATTGCAACCGATTTCTTTCAGTGTTCCGGGAGAGCAGATCGCGACGTGAGCGACCACGGTCATGGTCTTGAGCAGAACGCTTGCGGACTCCAGCTTCTTGGCTATCGCACCGTCTAAGATCAGATTTAAATCGGTTAGTAATATTGCCTCTCTTCCGTAAGACAGGCGTGTATTCATTAAGAAAGGCTTTTGAACTTCGTCAAGTCCGTGTCAAATCGCGGAACTGGCTTCTCGAGATTGCGATCGCGTCGCGAAAGTGTCAACGACACCGTACGTGACTGCGGGGCGAACGTCATCATTATTTCAGTGTGATATCGCGCGAGACTCATTAACTCTTGGTAACTTCAGTGAATAGGTACGAAATCTTAATAAGTCGTATCACGTCCCGGCAAATTATCGAGACTTTCCTTCATGCTCGCTATGGCGTGGCGGAATTTGGCCGCCAAATCTGAATTTACATGCTCCTATACTTGCTCTTAAATGCCTACATTTACATACGGAGCTGTTAGGTAATTTTTTAATCACTTTACCTTGCTTATCTTTTCACTATCAAATATGTGTCGACTCTCTAAGATAAGTCTGGAGGTACAATAGATACATAGAAAAGATTTTCTCTCTCCTTCCCCCTCCTCTCTCTCCTTCTCTCGTATACTGCAATGATAATTTTATTTTATTAAAAATACTTTTACGTCGTAAAAATAAAACACGACGTGACTTATGTTATTAACTTGAGGAATTGATTTTACATTCTTTCTAAAATTACAAGAGTAACTAGAAATCATGTCAAATGTAATATTTTAAAGATAAGCAGACGGCACAAATAAAATTCACATGACGAAAGTCCTTTTCCCGTAATATAGAGATCTTTCCGGGAATGTCGCGAGACTCGCGAGTGCAACGTACTCGTTTACCCAGTAATTAGCAAATTATATTTTCAAGTACCCCGGAGGGATGTAATTCTCCGAAGTTGCGTGCGCGAAGGTGTAAAAAAAGGAGCGTCTCGTTTCTCTATGACGCTAAGGGCCGATTTTCACCGAGAAATATTTCTTTTTTTTTTTCGCGGGAAGAGGAACTTATATCGCTCGCTGCGCTCGAGTTCGTTCCGACGCCGAATTCGTCGAGGGTGCCGACCTTGGCACGAAAAGCATCGGCGTCTCTTCGAGACGAAGCGATTAGAAGCTCGCGTGCTCGGTTCTGCGCGCCTCACCCTCCCGACGCTCTTATCGGAGCCCCCGCTCTATATATCATTTGGCGCACGTTCCTCATCCATTCCTCGATCCCCATCCAATATAGCCCCCTCGCAAATGTCACTTTTAATCCGAGTGACGTTTTACACGATGCGGTAATTGTTTCTCCGTCTGCCACCCGAAACACGACTGTCTTCTCGCTCACTTCTCTTGCGGTTGGAATCACATTTCTGGGGTTATCGAAAAAGGCTCGGGCCGAGACGTCTAGACGCTTTCTCTGACCCAACATCTTCCGCACGTCATTTGAATATAATTTTCTTACAAATCTCTCGCTGTAAAGTCGGAAGTTGTACGGGACTCGTGCACGTAAAGGCTCGTTAGTAGCGCCGTATTAATGAAAAATAAAACCGCGTAAGCTATTTCGCATTTTTCATCAAACGTCAATGGAAACGGCCCCGGCTAATGGTAGATAAGAGCGGGCGTTCGAGCTTTCGAGTAGACGTTACGTATGCCGTAACGTGGTGGCTGCCAGAACGGCGGGTTCTCATGCGGTACGGTCAATCAATGTCAGAAGGCACGCACGGCTGAAAGTCAATCAGAGCCTCCCGCCTGGCGCTGATCACTGACGCTCCCTGGATGGGGGCCGAAACGACGCCCGGCGTTTAAAAATCGGCGCTATCGGCCGTGATATCGATCTCGAGCCGTAGATCGAAAGCCGGGCGCATCCCAGATGTTCCTTACGCGAGCCTCGTTAATTCGCAAGTGCAGCGCGATTCTCGGCACTTTTGGTCATTTTTAATGCGCAGAGGATTGCACCGTTGCTCAAGCACGAAAAACATGCGCATACTAATGAAACCATGTAGAAAAATTGCACGACGAACCAATGGCTGGCAAATTCTAATTAAAGAAATTTATTGCGAAAAATATTGTAGGACTTTCCGAAACTGCGGGTTTCCGAAATTATACGTGATAATAATTAATAATAGAATTGACTGCTCTCTATCAATACGTTTAATTATATGTTTATAAGGCAACTATAATTGCGCGTGTACAGTTCTATTTCGCGCGATTCGTACAGAGATCTTCGGTCCGACTTTTACACACGGGAAACACGTCTTTTCCCTTTCGATCGACTCGGTCTTCTCTCTGGCCTTTTGTCGTCGATATTATATTCGGCTCTCATACGTGTCGACCGTTCGAGAAGGTCGTGGCAATCGTTGCCCGCTTTGCTTTCGCTGGTAATAATAAAGGCATTGCCTCGATAACGGACAAGACAACACGTTCGGGCTAACAAAGGAGAATAATAAAGCGTAGGCAAATGATTCGACTCGAGAACACACAGGACGGGACATAAGCACGTCGGTTGAATATATGTACATGTTTTAAACTAAGAAATTTATCGATTCCTACAATATTACCTCAGCCAGGGTTTGAACCTGGACCTCGCAATCAACTTCTTTAATTAGAATTTGCCAGCCATTGGTTCGTCATGCAATTTTTCTACATTGTTTAATCAAATTCTCTACGATACTAATGAAACTATTATTTTCAAAACGACTCCAGCCGATTGGAAGAAAACGGAGAGGCAATTGTGCGGCACGCGCGAGAGAATAATTTTTTTAACGCGCGACATTTATCCGGTTAGTGCGGGATTAATTAATATTTCACGCGGACACGTGTTTATACTCGCTGGAGACACGTGCTTCAGCATCGGCAGGACGTGGATCTGTTCGACTGACGTCATATTATTGAAATTTGAGCTGCAGGCACGCAAGATACGACACCTATCGCAACTAATCTTTCGTCGCGATAGTGTCCCGCCGTTTTGATTAATCAGCTGCTCTTATCATGCGACGGCGCGGTTGCCGAGAGACCGCGAGGACCGTCCGCGTAAACGAAGGTGTCAGCCTCGCGGAAATGCGCCCCCGCGTAAAATTTGTTGCGCGCGACGAGAGCTTCGTCTTTTCTCTCTACTCCCTTTCTCTCTCTCTTTCCCTGTGACAAACGGCGATCGTTCTTCCGGCCATTGATCATCCCGGCGGTGGACCGGCGCCCGCGCGCGGGATAGAGCGCCGTATTTTACAGCATCCGATGTTGTTCCATACGGCGTGCCCGCCCGCTCGCGTCGACGCCGACGGAAGCTTTCACGGAGCGACGCAATTGTTTGGATATGAAACGGTCTATACAGGGGGGGAGAGAGAGAGAGAGCAAACACGGCGGAATCGAGCGACGAAAACTCGATAACTGGGGCGATAACTCCGGCGCCCATTTACCATAGTCGGCTCGTGCCAGTTTCGTCCAACTCCACGTAACGAGGCGAAATCTCGAGGTCTCTTATACATTGGCCGCGTTGACTGTCGTTGCTCTCTCTCTCTCTCTCTCTTTCTCACACACGAATCCCCGTCCCAATAAGCTACACGTAATTGTCGCCAGTTACTGACCCGTGTCTGGCAATTTGGAATTGAATGACCTTCAGGAAAAATACTCGCGTGCTCTTCGTCGCGATTGTGTTCACGTTCGAACTTGAAACCTCCTGTAGTTGCGATTCTTTTAAAACTATTTAAAAAGCTTGATTTAAAACCCCGTCGGTAGCCATCAGCTGTTCGAGTTCGTCGAGGCGAAAGAAAAGTGAAAAGCGCCTCAACATGGTGGCTGCCAAAACTTGTTCTTTATCACGTGCTTTCCTCGTTCAAAGCAAGTATCACCGAAAATGCCGAAGGAGATCGATAAACCGGTGTACATTGGAAAGTTCAAAATATTGGCGGACCGCCAGAAGCTACACGATGACAGGATAATACCGTGCGCTGTTACGGCGCCGAAATAACCGCGTGCGCGCGTTCGGGAGATGAAAGCGCGATTTTATATACGGGTACCGTGAAGTTAGATTTACCGTCGGAATCGCCTCGCTCGCTTTTCGCCTCGGATTTCGAGAGTAATTTCCGCCAACCGTGAAGCTAACGGCGCGCCAGCGAGTATGAAGGAAAAAAAGAGATGGGAACAATTTGATCCGCGAAACGCGCCCACGCCGGAACAACTGTAGCATCTGCCTGATTAGAAACCCCGAAAAGGTACGAGTGAAAAGGGAAATTTCCCCTTTTCGAAGGTATGCGCGCCTATTCCGATACAATCTCTCAAAGAGCTCACGGCGTACCGATTTAAATGCAATTTAATGCCAATTTAAATGCTTATGTGATACAACCAGGGTTGGGTGAGTTATCTTTTTTTAACCAATTGTAAGTTAAGTTAAAAGTTAACAGCCTTGAAAATTTAATTTGGTTAAGATACAATTTATTAGGTTAATAGTAAAAAGACAGTAAAAAGTTACATGTTTTATTTTTACATAAAATCCCAGAGACTTACGGTCACTTAAATTCCATTGAATTTCGCGACTAGCGCGTTTGGATAATCACTTACACTACACGGAATATGGCCCATTTTATATGCAAAGAATTACGTGAAATTCATTAGCAGCGCTGAAAATCCATAGTACACGTATACACAGTAGATTTTAGAGCTGGCAGTGAATTTTGAAACCCAGAGACTGCCAATGTAGGCAGACGCACGGCGTCTCGCGACGCCTTTGTTTATGGCATGGCTAACTTTAAGGCCCGGTGTTTCATTTCCTGGTTAATTGTTAATCGACTCTCTATCTTTCTTTATATCATTATCTAAAAAGAAACAGAGAGTCGACTAACCTCTGGTTAACAATTAACCAGAAAATGAATAAACCGGTCCTAAGAGAGAGGTAAGTTAAAAGTTAAAAGTTACCGATAAAATGTAACTAAATTCAGTTAAAAGTCAACAGTCTACAATGTAACTAAGTTAGGTTAAAATTCTTTAACTTTTTAACCGTTTAACTTAGCTTTCATCTTTTTAACTAGACACCACCTAACCCTGGGTGCAACAGCATAATATTAATAATGAATAAAACAATGCGGTAGACCGCATAAAAATATATTACGGAGGGTGTGCTGAAACGCAAGCTAAAATAACGAACGGCATTGTTGTCACGACGAAACTGACTTCAATCTGAAAGGGAATATATTAATCAATAGAATCCCACGATCGAACTTTGTCACGTGTTCCTCGTAATTTTCCGCGTGTGTGTCGATGAGTCGTGGAACAATAAAAAGAAATGTAGGTTGAAGAAGCGATTCCAACGCGCGCTTCGGCGGAAATCACAACGTTTGCGTGACAGGAGAACTGATTCGAGTTCCCCGGTGATAAAAGTGTCTCCCAGTGAGTGCGTTTTAATTTATATTACAGCCTCCGCAGCGCCGTTAGGTTTCTCGGTCGGGCATAAATCTCGTCCGAGAAAAGAACCTAACGAACGGCTATCCTACCGATAGAACGCTCGCCCTCTCTCCCGTTGCATTTTGCGATCTCCTGATTACGCCGCGTTATCGCTTGTTTACGAATTTGGCAATGGAAAGGGAAAAAGTAATTGAAAGATAAAATATGTAGGAAGGAGAAGTGCCAATGTGAGCCACAAAATGAACGGAACTCGGTTCTCACAGTACAGGAAAAAGAATTTCTCTTTAATATAAAACGTTTCGACCCTTCTTCGGGTCTTCCTCAGCAATAAAATTTTATTCGCGAGTCTTACTGAGGAAGAGAAAGAGAAAGAGAAATTCTTTTTCCTGTACCGTGAGAACCGAGTTCCGTTCATTTTGTGGCTCACACTGGCACTTCTCCTTCCTACATATTTTTCTTTTGGGAGCCTTCACAACCTTGGAATAATGAGAGATAAAAAATCCCTGGCAATTACCGGAGTTCTTTTTCCTGGTTTCACGCCGAATCTCGCTGCTTCGAGATCCAATTATTACCCCCTGTGCCGTAAGGCGGACTCGCGAATAGCATCTCTTCCAGCCCATCACGGAGACCCGACCTTCAACGATGGTAGGTGGTCGTAGGGTGAAGCATACGGCGAGCAATGAAACCACCACCACGTCCATGGTCACCGGCGGCGTTACCAATAGGAGCGACAACAACGTCGTTGTCTCCACTGTACAACCGACCACCACTCAGCAAGTAAGCTCCTCTCTCACTCTCTTTCATCGTGCATCCTCGTTTTCATTACGTCGACGCGTATCACGTCGACGGGTCGGTCGCGCGACGTCTCGCGGCCTCGGGAGAGCGAGAGCGGTAGTCTATCTCGCGGGACGCGCGACTCCTCCGCAAAGTGTCGCCGCGCGATATCGGACTCGCTCCCGCGCATTCAGCCAAGTTGGACGCGACATTGTGAGCGAAAAAAAAAAAGTTGATAGGCGGTTCGTGCGGTACACGCGCGTGTAACCAGCTGGGACGTTTGTTACAGCGTCTTCGAGCGAGGCGATCTAGATCGCTACCCGAAGTAAGTTGCTTCAGTTTCGTGGCCGACGTTTGGTGCTCGCGATATACCTGTAACTAACGTGCGACGATGTAAGGAGTGACGGCGCCACTCGGAGGCATTGTTGAAGAAAGTCTCCTCCTGCTGCGAATTTGATATCGCACTTTGGGGTCATTTAATGAAACCAATTTCGGCAATTTACGTAAATGTTCGCACAACCGCCAGTTATTGCCACGTTCCACGCTGTCTTTAAGACTCTTCCTTCGCGAAGACAGTGTGCATCGTTTGTATCGGAATTCTTGAAAATCGCGCGTTTGCTTAGGATTTAATTTTTGAGGTACTCGTGCACCCAGCAAAAAGATTTATTCAGGTTAAACAAATGAGACACGTTGAAATCATGTTTCTTCGAGTCTACTAAATTTTTACTCACTTCTAGTAAAACACTTGCTAGCTTTGAAGAAATAGGTATGAATTCTCTTAGAATTTCCAGTCCCAGTGAAATGAAATTTTGATTAAGGTGAAGAAATCATTTCTTTAAAATCAAAAGTCTATCGAGGTCAAAATTCAAATTTCCTTGATTTCAAACTCCCTTTTCTGGACGTAATTACGGAGAATTCTAAAATTTAACCGGAAATGCTCCATGACTTTTGGACTGAAATTTTCTTGTTAATTGTTTTTCGCGGCTCACACGAGGCTCCCGGGGGCAGTGCCGAAAACGCGTAAGTGCGCAACGAATGCTCTGCACGAAGACGCTCGTGAACGTATAAGGAAAACGCGAGTGTGGCTCGTGCTTGTGCCTTAATAACGCATATGTGTGTACGTGCGCACACGAGGCACCCGACCGACGCGAGAGCTTAACTGACATATAAATAGCGCGTTTAAAGAGAGCCGGCTAGAACTTTCCCGCGTGGTGCGTCTTGCGAACCCGCGTCAGGAAGGCACGAGTCGCTTTCCGAGGTGGATCACGCGACTGGAGCGGGTCCAGTGATCAGCCGGCGCGTGGATCGCAGGGACGTGAGATCGCAGAGATCCCGCGCGTGCAGAAAGTCCCATTTCGGAGTGCGTGCAACACGTTAGTCGCTCCTTCGGTATTCGCGATCGATATTCGGTGAACGATCCGTGAAGTGAGTAAATAACATTGCTGATATGAACGAGTCCCCGTTGACACGGGTCACACTTGTGACACGTGCGATTCGTGAGTAACCGATCATTGCGGCCGGTATGGAGGAAAGCGAACCAAATTGCGTTCAACTTTCATTGATAATTGAGAGATGAAAGTCAGATACATGGGTATCCAGGCTTTGCAAATTGAGCGTCGATAGTTGAAAGCCAAAATAACTCTTTTCCCATCAAAGTTTACTCCTGTTATTAAAGTTAAGTTAAGACCGCGCGAAATGAAGATCTTGAAAGCTTTAGAAATACATTTTACTCCCGACGAGAAACGCGGGGCCACGGGCGATGATAAACAAAAATGAAGTTTATCGAGTGAATTACCGGTAGCTCACGGAGTCGAGCTCCGATCGAGAATTGCGAGCTGGAGCGCGCCGGGCAATATATGAATTTCAGTTTCCCCCCTCGAGATTAATTTCCGTCGTTTCGTGCGTCCGGCAGAAAGTCCGACGGATCTTCGAGGAGCAGGCCAGGTGGCAAGAAAGCGGCCCACGCAGACGCGTGAAATGCACGTCGGGCACTACCTATTGCGTGGTTAACAACTACAGCATCGTTGCCTCTAGGGGCGAACTTGCTCGAAATAACCGCGCCGTGAGTGAAACGACGTCGACGACGACGGCCAACGTCATTACCAAGAGGCGAGCGTCGTCGATCGTAAACGGGAGAATCCACTCCAAGGAGGAAACCGCACGGAGCGGCATCCTCGCCCCAGAGGAATCGAGGAGACCGAAGGACGTGTCCAAGGACTCGGCGAGACCAGGTATCTCAAGGGGCATCCAACGAGGTATAATCAAGTCTGCTTCCGTGCCGAAGGATTTGAAGGAAGGTGCGTTGCGTAATTTCTAAACTTATCGACGGGAATAACGCGCCTATTGTTTATTGATCTGCTTTGAGCCTTTTATTCGTCCACTTTTATCTCTTTACCTCTTTATACTCCTCTTTTTTAAATCGAAATATAACTGTTACTCTTTTACAAGAAAAGCTTCAATTAACTAACGAACATGATGAATTTGAACAAATGCACATCTTGCATTTGCTGTCGCGCCTAATACAATAGGCGCAGTGGCGAAACATTAGCTATCGCAGCTAAATATTAGTCTGTCCATATTTTGCAACTGAAATTTAGTTACATTTCTTTCCGCGGGATATTCCAAATGTGCGCCCCGAAAACTGCGGGTAAAATTATTTTCGACGGAGAAGTTGATTTCCCGTACCATCTATCTCTCTTTAATGACCACTTGGCTGTGGAAATGCTGACGTGCATGCCGTGATAATTTTTACATTCGCCCCCATTCGGCTCGCAAGTTGCCACTGACGGAACAATGTCTAGCGAAAATCGTGCGTCTCCCAGCTTCCGATTAGAATTGCAAGTGAAACCGCGAGGTAAACGATCGCTTTTCATAACGGCCTCGTATACGGCGAACCCGTTCTCCGATACGAGATTAAACGGAAACACACCGCACCGATGAAAAATTAATAAAAGCGTTCCGCCCGATGTGAAACAAATCAAGTTAATTGTCGAAATGTATGTGATCGCTCGCCGAAATCCAATAATTTGTTTCAAAGCGAAAGGGGACACCTTTCTATTTATACGATCTAATTTCCTAAAACACACGCGTCATGCACGCGTCGCCAGCTTGTCAGTTGAGGCTAGAGCGAAATAAAATAAATGTTCGCTTTCGGCTCACATCGATTCTGACGGCGCGCGAGGTTCTATAAGCACACGCGATCCACCCCACGATCTGTTTACTTGCGCAAGCCATTTTACGACAATCAACGACGATGCGAACATTCGCATGCCGCTAAATGCATCTATTTAGGCCCGCGACCGCGGACCGCTGAGGATGCTGCGAGGATGCGTCTTGGGAAGTAACACGGCTAAATATAGAGTCGTGACTCCGCAGGTCTTCCAGTGAGGGAAAGAACGCTGCAACGGGTACCGGAGGAGGGCATCCTGAAGAGGTCTTCCGCCTTCCTGGCGAGTTTAGCGCATCATCATCCCTCCAGCAAACTCGCCGAGAGGAATTCGCCGGGTGGCGCTGAGTTGGCCAAGTTCCTCAGGCCGTCGGACGGCTACGAGCTTCGCGGCTCATCCTCGAGGTACACCGGTCTGAAGGGATATTTCTCGATCCTGACGGACGACAGCGACGACGTGGGGCTGTGTGCTCTGCGGCCGTCGCCCAGTGCCCAGACGTTATCGACGGGCTTGAAGAAGAAGGGCGTCGGAGTGAAGAAGTCGGTGTCTTTCAGCTCCGACACCAGCTTCGAGGAGAAACGCGCGCCATACCGGAAGCCTGCCGTCCACGAAGCCAAGATCTATCGCAAAGGCGTGCTTCAAGGTGAATTCTGCGCTCGCTCGATGAGGATTTTGCAAAATTTACACAGTACTACAGATAGCATCTTCAACCTGTTATGTCTTTACCAAATCGAACAGCTGTATTTGTTTTAATACGTTCATTTTATCAGATTAATTCGGATTACTCTGCCCTTCTTGGCTATTTTATATTATTTTAAGTAAAAAAGAAATTGGTGGCTTGAAATGCAATAGTGCCTTATGTACCAACGCGATAAATGGATCATCGCTTTTATGCAAGAGACGCTTGTTTGCCAACGAGTTTGTGTTTGCACAAACTTTTCACGTTGACATGTACCGACGTCACTAATTAGTGCCGACAAATTGATTCCGATGTGTGACATCACTGATAAAAAGTACCAACTGATAAGAGCCACGTCTAAATCTAGATAAACGTTCGGTTCGCATTAAAACGTGAAGACACGTCTCTGAGCGATGTGAAAATTTTCGGCAAAAATTTGCGCAATGACGTCGCGTTAACAAATTGGGCTTTAACAAACTGCGGACATAAATTTGTCAGTAAGCAAATCATGATCTCCTGTTGCGTTAAATAAATTTCGGAGTATAATTTAATGTGGCGAAGGACTTTATTTAAAAATATCACAAACTCGTGATTTATGACCGCGTAATTTGCCGAAGCATAGAGAGTCTGTCCCCATAAAATTGTATTATTCAATGACATATTAGACAGTTACAATTGCGCGGGTAGTCTAATAAAATGTAAAAATAAAAAGGATTTAGGCTGTGAGAGTCAAACGCGGTTATTAGTGCGCGACAATCTAACAAAATTGTTTTCAAATACAATTCTTGATCACAAGTTCCGGACGTTTCGGTTGAAAGTTTTAACCATTTTCAACAATGAGTTCTTAAACGTCCGGAACTTGTAACGAAGAATTGTACTTGAACAATTATGTTAGATTGACGCACGCACAACCGCGTTTGACTCTCACAGCTTAAAACCTTTTAATTTCGAGAGTCCAGTCCACTTGTTTAATTTTATATTTTCTAACAAAATTTAATTGGTAATTAAAAACAACTTGAAAGTAATAAGGTGAACGTGTAAATCTTACAGACCACCTACGCAAAGAGACGATCAGACCAAAAGTGCCGCCTTCGTGGGAAATACCCTCCGGGGGCCCTACGGCCCTTCTGAGGGCCGCCAGGGAGGCGGACGACACTGGTCTAAAGGAAATCGTCGCGCAGGCTCGAAAAGTAGGTCTGAAAGGCATGGACGTCAACGTGGTCGACAGCAGCGGGAGGGTGAGTGCAAAATTCTCTAATTAATTGAATTAATTTCTAATTGCCGTCGCGCTTCGTAATTTAAAAGTTGCTCTGCAATATTTTACCTGTCGTTTACCCTGTTAACGCAGTAGTGTGCGGCGCGGCGCGACGCGCTTGCGTGTCTGTGAAAAAATGTGACGACGGGGAAGAAACGCGGGGGAAAAAAACCGCGGAAAGAATATGGGGAAACGCAAAATATGCAAAACTATGAAATGCTTAATAATTGACCCAACAAATCACGAGTTATCTGGTCGTCGGATCGGCCTCTGTCTGTCGATCCTATTTGAGATTCTTTCGGAGCTGCACTTTCGGAACGGGAGATCATTTGAGCGAAATGGCTTACGCTAAACGAATCCGACGGATTGGAAAGCCGGCGGCGATCCGTAATTAACAGCGCGCGATTCGCGATCGATGAAAGTGCAATTAAGGCCGAACGAGTCGCGCGCGACGGCAGGAAACAAATTTCGCCTTCGAATGGGTCTATTTTTAAATCGTCCGGCTGCGATCCCGGCGATTCGAAGCGCGCGAGTCTCGTTTCTCGCGGGGGTTATGCAAAAATGTACGCAACCACGACAGGCCCCTGCGGTCCGCTCGACGATTGATTGCAGACGGTCGGGAGTTAACAGAGGTGTGAAGTTTCGAAACAAACGCTTTAGTGCTGATCTCACGCATATTGTTCCTTTCGTTACTTCCGTAAATTTTGAAGACAACTACTATTAACGTAAAAAACGGGTGTCCTTACACCTATTACAATTGTTACAATTATTCTTACGCGGAAAACGATAAAGGAAAGTCCTCTATTATAGGTTTCTAATATGAGATAGCAGGTTTTCAACCAAATTCGATCACAAATCTTTTTTTTCGCAACGAATGCTCAATCCAACAATGAATTTTCCATTGAACGAATTTCGCTCCAAGGGTAATAAATTCACGGTGGAATCAACTGATGATTTAATCTTATGTATCATAACTTTGTTTCTAAATGATTTATTAATTTAAGTATAAGATTTCGTTTCTATTTAACTTTTGTATATTGCGGAATTTATGTAAGGCTTCTTTAGTCGGCCGTTTGAAACTATAATATTTATTATGTTTTAACCAGCTCGTTTTATGATTAGTCTTATTCCTTTATGATCCTGTCTCATAATAGGGGACTTTCCTCTGCTAACACGATTTGACACCACGTTCGTTCAATATCGTATTCATGAACGGTAGATAGAGCATGAGTAAAGAAGGTCTCGACATGACTTCTTCGTCGTTTCTTTAAGCGTTTCCTAAGGAAGATCTCCCTGATAGGCCAGCGAAAATTTTCAGCGTGTTTCGTGCTGCTTCGCACTGCGGCGCATCTCGATCAGATAATCGGCACAACTATTGTAGCATAGTGAAGAACTTTTCTAATTGCTGACGAAACTCCGTGTAATTAGACCAGGCTGTTTTCCGGCCGGCGCGCAGATTAAGCGGCAGGATCGATCGACGAAACGGATCCGACCGCCAGTCCGTCGCGGATGTCGGCAAAAATTCCATGCTCACGGCGCGGCGCTTTCATTAGCGCCCACGTGCGATCCCCTCGTGCATGTAGCCTCGTGGAAAAGTACCGAATTACCCGTCGGCACCCAGCTCTGCCCGCTTCTGCAGCAAGCGGGGTGTAAAATCGCGCCCCGAGAGGAGGCTAAGATTGGTTGCATTCCGAGGGGAAATACGTGTATATGATATCGCTCGGCAAAAACGCTGCAATATATTTCCCTGGTAGATCTGGAATTCAGTTTTTTTTCTTTTTTCAGTGAAACCTCCAGCTTTATGGTACGCGGGGATTAAAGGTGTTTAGTTGATTCGAAGACACTGTGCCTTAGAGCGCAGTGATAAATTTTCTTCATACGAAGAGAAGCTTCTTTTCCAATTAACCCTTTGAAGCATGGTGGTAGCCCACGTTACCACCTCCTTTACTGTTTGGCCATTTAATTTTTAGGTGACGCATTTAGGTCGGGTTTTTTTTGCATTTTTGAGGCATCTTAGCGCAATAACCCACGTTACCACCTCAACTTCTTTACTTTTCGGCCATTTAACTTCTAATTAACGCATTTAGGTCAGGTTCTCTTGCATTTTTTGAATATCTTAGCATAGTCTTTAATATTTATTGTAAATGTTTTATAAATAAACAAATATGAAAAGACAGTAATTTTTTCGGAAAAATTCATTACTGACCAAGTTTTTTAAGATTATTTCTTGAAAACTTTGTGCAAGGGGGTTGTCGGGGTCGCTCATTACTAATCCGATGTCAGATTCTCAAAATTAACAGTGTCGTGCCAGATATTAAAAAAATCTGAAGAAGCACGACGAACGATGGGACCTGGCATTGTAATTAGCGTCGTTTCGGAGGACACGCTCGTACGAGATGTTTAATCTTACACAATGACCGCTTACGTTCGTTACCGTCGAACGATTGCGACAGGATCGTGGACGGTTCCATTGAAGACGAGACTGCCGTTTGCAAAGAGCCTCGCGCTTCGTTGAAATTCGGTGCCTGAGGTCCGGTTTCACCAGCGTTGTTTAACTTTCAGCTTAGCTTAATTCGTTCTTTGTCTCTTTCCAACTGTTCCTTTAGAAAGTGACAAACACGAATTAAACCAAGATTAAGGATAAGCGACGTACGGTGAAACCCGGGCCTCTTACAATTAGACACGCGCGTCTTTCCCGAGGCGAAACTGACCGACGCCACCGCGCGTCTCGGGATCGATACGAGAGCGCGTAAATCTCGATCCCGTACGGGGAGCCCGCGACCGCATTCCGTATGCGGCGGTGTCGCGTCGCAATTAAAGTCGGACTCGGTCTCCTCTCCCGTAGATAGAAATGCGGTCGACCTTCGTGGAGCCGCGGCGTACGCTGCGCTAAGGTCGGGACGAAGGGGAGCTCGGTGTAGGCGTCCCATGTAATCGTGACGGATAACCCCGGTAACGTCGCCGCTTCCCAAGGCCGAGCACGTGAAGCGCGGAAGATATCGCGTGTTACAACGCGCATCAAGGAATCGTGCTCGCGATCGATTCGCACGTATCGCAAACCCGAAGCGATCGGTTACGCATCAACCCTGATGCAGCACCGGACGGATAATGCGCGATTTCCTTAAGCGAGCGCCGTGCGATGATTCAACGAGGCTAAAGAATTCGCCCGAGGTCAGCACGTTACGTGCAAAAATAACTAAAGCGTTGGAAATTGTACAGGCTTCAATGCACTCATTAGCCTGTAACAGAGTTTCGTTTGAAACGAAATAGGACGCGTTGCGTTTGCCGATTCACGCGTCGCCTTCGAGGGCAAACGCGTCTTCTTGCGAGCGTTTGTTGGCATAGCCTGTGTTTTAACGTCTGTTTGTATACCGGCGCACGCTGACGCAAGTAAAGCAATAACGTTCAAACGTCAATAGCCACTTAATAAATTGATTCTTAACGGATAGTCCATTGTGCGTCCCGATGTCGGGCGGAGGCAGCAAACAATGCCGGGATGAGAATGTCTTCCTACGAGATGTCACACTAGTCAACAATTGCGATTTAAAAGGCGATATTCAGCCCTCCCTTTTCATTGTACTTACACGTCAATCGAGCGGTAGCAACAATAGGTGAGACGCGGCATTCAAAGATGAATTCGATTAACGACTCGTACAGGGGGGGAAACACCGCGCGATTTAGCGCGATGGGTCGCGTTCTCCGTTGAGAAAAAGTTCCAGCCGAGTCAGCCCCGAGCTCGGCGGAAACCGGCGAAACCTAATTTAAAATTCGCCCCGCTCCGCGCTTAGCCGCCGCCGGTGTGGATTTAGCGGAGTAAAACCCGCGAAATGTGCGCCGTGTAATCGCGCGGTTTTTCATGTCACGGTCAAACGCGTGGCAGACACCGGGCGATACGGCCGGTGGCCGTGGGGTAAATAATGTTCCGCGCGAAACGCGCGAGTTTACGTAATCGGGCGTGCTTTCGGCGCAAACTAAACCGGGGATTATTTGTTTGCCATTGCAGACGGCCGTAAGTTACATGGCTGGGAACGGCGCGGCGGCGATGCTTGAGCTGGCGCTCTCTTTCGACGGCGTGGACCCGAATCTGCCCGACAACGAGGGTAACACGCCGCTGCACTTTGCCGCGCAGGCCGGTGAGTGTGATCGATCGTGTTATGAATATCAGGTTGCCGGCGGTTCCTGTGTGGCCGCGCGACGCTGGGAAAATGTCAATGACGCGTTGCGGGAAAACAGTCCGTTTGATCTCGCAATTTTCCAGAATCCGATTCCCCGAATATCCGGTGGAACCGCGCTATTAATAATGCCAATATAATAATGTCGCTGCAAACGCGACGTTACCGAGACAAAGGCGTCTACATGGGCCGTGCGCGAGTTAAATGGCTCAAAGAAATGCTTCCTCCCTTTCGCCTCTTTCCCCTTTCGCGGAGCTCGAAATATCACCTGTGGTAATTATAACCGACGTTCCAAAAATGAATCCCGGCGAAATACGGAGAGTAGGATGGCCGCGGCGCTCTTATTCATAGAGAAAGTGACAAGAATAAGCGTTGCATCAATCGGACGCGCGAGCGTAGCGACGAGTAGGCGTCGAAGGTGTGTTTTCGCAGGAATCTCGAAAATGCGTTTATTCGGGAGTGGTTTACAACATAATTTACCGCGGTGTTTACCTCTGCTTCTTTTCTACATCCCACGTGATCATCCCCTCTCAGTAGATAGCAAATGGCCACGTGGCTGCAAACAACTACATACCATCCGTCGCGGTCGCAAATTAACCATGAACTTAAAAAAATAACAGAGGATAAAGTTCACGGGATCCTCATTTAGCTTTGTGACTCAGACATGACGTTTACAGCCTGAAATAAAGTGGGAAAACAATAAATGGAGCCGTATTAAAGCCTAATCTATTATGCAATATGCTCCTTGCGTCTATTTTGCGGCCAACAAATACGTTCGAAAGATTTGTGCAAGTCGATAAATTGTAGTTATACAATGTAGGATCGTACATTGTCGGCAAATTTTTCAAGAGTTTTCGGTTTGCTTATATAAAGTAGAATGTTTCTAGGCGCAAGGAGCACATTGTAGATCAGGCTTGAAAGTAAATATTAAAATTGAAATTGGTGTTAATGGGTTAAAATAGTAAAAGATTAGTAGGGGCAAAATGTGAGCCGTCACCTAGACAAAGGTGATAAATTATATATCAGTATTTCTCGCATATAAATCCGCTACAACGACTTAAACACATAAGAAGTTATAATATATAACAAATTTGAAGAATTCAACGATTCAAAAAGGGGAGAAATGATTTCAAAACTCGGCATTAAATCAGGCGATCTCTCGTCTGTCAAACGTAAATACTCTTTCTGAACACTTCACGGTCTCGTTACACTTTTATGCAAACGGGGATAATGTGCGGAGGAAATCGCGATAAGCGCTATCGGGAAACGCGACCTCAAGCCTATATATACCAAATCTGCCGGCAGTTTTCGCGTCGGCACGAGGATCCCGTCGCGTCACACAATCGCCGAAAATAGCGAGGGAACATCGGAGCGCCTCGTGCAACAAACGCGCAGCTTCACGATGACGCGTGCCGATAAATGTCCCGAGCCAAAGCACCGCGGGTTATGAAATACAGGAGGAGAGAACTCGCGAGCGCGCGAAGAAAATCGGCACCTGTGATGTCAGTACATGTTTTCTGTTACGTATCTGCGGACAGGACAGACCGAGTGCCTCAACATCCTTCTGCAGAGGTGTCCGGACATCGAGGTGGACGCGAGAAACACCCTGGGCTTCACGCCGCTCATGAAGGCCGCCCTTCAAGGTAGAACCAAGTGCGCGAAGATTCTTCTGTTCGCTGGTGAGCCAATAGTTGACTATAAATTTTCATCAACCATAATTTATTATAAGTAATAGTCCGATCATCTGAAACACTAATGGTCTCTAATATACATTTGTAATATAATATAATAATAAATAATAGTCTCTCGAAAATAAAATAAATCCATAACGTTCGATTAACAAATAATGAAAATAGATTGAATATTTGGAATATTATTAAGTATGATCACGAAGGATCACGGAGTGTCTCTTAAAATTGCTCAACTGCGCCGTTTGAGAATTATTTGTCGCAAATTTCCAGGTGCAAACCCTACGCTGCGCGACCACGGTAGAGGACTGAGAGCCGAACAATGGGCGAGGTTTTGCGGCAGGTACGTGTGCGCCGAGATGATCGAGAGGTTCGCGAGGCATCGTCTGTTGGAGAGAACGACGTCCTGTCGTTGGGGCAGCGAGCCTGAGCTGGCTGCGAAGGTGTTGCAGGGGAAGGTACGTAGAGCGCGATATCGAGCTAACGTCCTACTCGGATCTCCTTCGTTTGGAAGACGTAAATCCTACGTAAACTATGCTAGGTGATGCCTATACCTACGACGCCTCTGCCGCAACCCTCGGGATTGAAGTCGAAAATAAGAAAAGTCTTCCGCACCACCTCCAGCCCCGACCGGACCTTCTCTCTGGTGTCGCAGCTCACGAGCGCAGCTCTCTGCGCGAGCAGTCCGGCTCTGCCGAAGCCCTCACCTGTTGTAAAGAGCCTTCTGCGACCGTTGAGCGTGCCCCAGTTAAGGTGCGACGTTCGTCAAGGAACGAAAACTTTCCGAACTTCGCCGATCGATACTTTATAATCGTACTTTCCTTACGATTGCACGCTTTACAATGCTTTCTTGCAAGATTCAAAACGTCTATTAGCAAATTACAAGCGATTTGCAAAGATAACAGTAAATAGTTAATTTCTCAAATGTCAAATATCTTTTTCAAATTACATTTGTTAGATGATAAATAATTCTGACTTAAAGCTAGCGTTAACATGGAAGAGAAAATAACAGTCTGCGCCATTTTTCAGGGTGACGCTGGTTTCGCAACAGGACTTCCTGGAGAAGACCTCCGAAAAGTACGGGACGAATTTCACGGATAAGATCGAGAACTCGATCGCGAAGCCACCACGCTCGAAGAAGAAGAGCAAGTAGTCGAACGTAAAGCTTTCGCGGTCACGAGCCACGTTTAGAACTCCACTTCGCACTGAACACACTCGAGGGGAGATGATTACTCAGGTCTGCTTGACGTAAAGCAGTGAGAGACGGACAGTGTTTGTGATCTATTTGAGATCATTTACGTGTTATCCGCTGTTGCCTGTAATCGGCCGATCGTCCGACGCCGCGGTCCCTCAAGTAGATCGTAGGTTGTTCATTTTTACCTCGCTGAGAGAAATATTAGCGATGCATTTTTCACCCGTGGGACGTTCACGGGGATAAAACGGAGGACCGTCGAAACTCCATTGCTCCCGATAAATCACCATTTCCAGTCGACGGCTGCTGTTGGAGTGTTGTCATGTTTACGGCCCGTGTACTCGAGATTGTTTTCGATGTACACCGCCGCCGCGGTCGGACGCATAAACATTCGGGACGGTCGAATTTTATTTTTAGTTTAGACTTGTAATGGATCGTACGACACGTGGTGGGACGAGGCGCGGCGTGCGAGCGCGGTTTACAAGAGATCGCAAAATCACGATCGAAAGATCACCGTTGGACGATCGCGATATTCCTCTCCGTCGTCTCGATATATGGGATCTCGATTCTTCTTCCGGGAAACGCAAATGTGTTTGACTTGAAGCGTGCGCCGAAGCGAAGCCTCGGGGGTTTTTACCGATTGAACTGTTAAAGATGATCGAACGGCTTGCGATCAACCTCACAGCCGCAGGTCTCTAACTTATAATACACGCGTTTTACGTACAAGATTTTATATGCAGTTACTGTCAGATGGTTATTTAAATAAATGTCTTATTAATTAACCACTGTCTTTTGATTGTAAGTTATAATTAAGATACGGAGATCGGCGTCTATGGAGATTCTACTGTCAATTCGCTTGTTCTTCATTGATCCGTCGAATCGAAAGCACGCACGGCTCAACTCTCGGAACGGCGATTCCGTCGTTTCCGGCGATTCTTCGCCTGAGACAGGATCTCGTATGCCTGCTGAATCTCCATAAATTTTTCCTGAGCCATGCGCCTCTCCTCCTCCGAGCCCTTAACTTTGTCAGGATGGTTGTCCCTGGACAGAGTTCTCCATCGCGCTGTGACTTCGTTCTGCGAGGCGGTTTGCGAGAGACCCAGGACCTGTGGAGAATGAGCGAGCGTTAATTAGAGCCTCGTCTGCCTTCCAAATAAGTCATGCAAATCTAATAAAATTTCGCGAACGATTAGCCGACCTTGTAAGCGTTTATTTCGCCTCGAGGATCCGTGAGGTCCACCAGTTGCGCCCAGGTTGCCCAGAAGCCTTGATGCCTTGCCTGGTTCCACGTGGCCTCAAGACTCGCCTGAATAACGAAAAGTATCAGTGTCACGGAGAGAATCTTCTCTTAAAATTTACCCTGAAAATCATGTAATCGTGGGACAACACGGCATTTCGAAGAACTTTATGAAAGTTCCTTAAAATTTTACCACACATTTTACTAGTAAAATATATAATAATTGTAAGTATAATTATTAGTAAAATGTATGGTAAAATTTCGAAAACCTCTCACATAAAATCCTTCGAAGTGCCTTGTTGTCCCACGATACATGATTGCATGATTTTCAGGATAAATTTTAAGAGAAAATTTTCTTCGCGTGTCTAAAAATCTTTCAAACCTTTCGCAACAATTAACGTTTTTGAAAATTTGGCGCTCGTGTGCTCACCTTAAGATCTGTCCAGATGGGTGAAGTGAGGAAGTGCTGCACTGCTTCCGACAGCTTGATCTCCTCGCCTTCGCTGTCCGTGACAACCGCATTGAAGTACAAGTAACTGCCGAGTATAGCGAAGAAGAGCATGAGCGCTAAACCTAAGTACGCCATACGGCGGACAAAGCTTCTTCTTTTCCTCGGTTTCAGCCGCCATTGTTTGCTGAAGGTGTCGAAGCTCAGGCTCGAGGCAATCACCATGAGGAAAATCCACATGGTGTCGTCAGCGATATAATACCAGGTCGGGTAAAACAGATACGTTGTGACGAGCGTTATCCATATCGAACCTTGTTCCCTCCCGATATTTCCGACTGTCCACACACCTTTTAAAGGATTAACATTGAATAAGGGTTTTCGTAAAATGCCTGTATTTCTAAAATATCTTTCTAATTATTTATGTATATATACAACGTTTATAAATAATAAATATAAATAATTTATTCCTTCGGAATTAATTTATATTTATTTATATATATCATTATTTATGGATATAAATAACGAACATGTATAATTATTTTAATGTCTATTAAAATTTATATTTGGCAATTATAAAATTAAATTATTTAGTAATTACGTAATATAAAATATTTTACATATTTTTTATATATTATAATTTAATTATTCATGCTTGTGTAACGCACGTGTAAATTGAATATCAATTTAAACTTTTAAATCTTAAAATCTGAAGTTAAAATTATTAAACTCTTATAATGACTGAATGAAAGAAGACGACATATCAACGTTATTGATTATTTATCGCATTACCTCTCGACCGGGCATTCGTTCCCGCACTGAGAAAAATGTTTGATTAAATATATCCGTTTATTATTATGTAATTGGCTTATCCAATTACATAATAATAAACGGATATATCCAATTGCATTGCATATCCAATGAAAAATATGATCGGTTTTTCAATGAAATTTCATTGATAACTGCATTTCATCGGATAAACGACATCGAATGTATCCATAATTTAATCGAAAAACGTAATCGTAAAAATTAACTATCGGAAACATTATTTCATTGGTCTATCCCGAGGTCTATCCGATGGAAATTTTTCTCAATGCACGGATACTGTTTCAAACGAAGAATACCTTCCTCCTCCACAAAGAAAGAAGTAGTCGTGGTATGAAAAAAATTTTTTCAATAAGCTAAATCTTTAATTTTGTTCAATAATGAATTAATACAGTATCCACGGGAACAAATGTCCAGTCGAGAGGCAATGCGATAAATAATCAATAACTTTGGTATTTCGTCTTGTTTTCTTCAATCATTATAATAGTTTAATAATTTGAATTTCAGATTTTAAGATTTAAAAGTTTAAATGTACACTAAATTTACATGTCCATTACATACTCAATATAACCGTAATGTTAACATTTTATGGATGTGAAGAAAATCTGATTAAGAAATTCGAACTTGACAAAAAGACTTTACGTTGAAATTGAAGATAAAATAGAATATAGAATAAAAAGAAACAAGGTGTGATAAAGCCTGTTAAAAAGTAGGTAAAAGGTCGCCAGTATCGGCTTTTCCGTAGTTTTCGTCATTTATCATGATAAATGTATTTTTTACTAGTGGCGCGTGCGTCACATATTGCGACCTTAAAACATTATCTTTCGAGGGAACCTAACGAGCGCGCGATAAGGAAACCCACGTTATAAGAAATAGACGAGTTTTCCTGTTTTCCTTCTAATGCAATTCTTACCTAGCGCGATCACGGCTGGAATTAAGATCAGCAAATGCCTGAAATTAATGCCGTACACTTCCTCCAGCGGAATCGCGTTGTTGAACAGCTCGGCCCATAAGTAGGCGACCGCGGCTTCCGCTGTGAATCGCACCGCGGAAAACGGCGGCTGTAAAGAATAAATCCGCTTTCGTCATCGATTTACAAAGGTGTCGGTTGTCAGTCGCATTTATTTCGCCAACGTTCCCCCCCATTTAACATCCTTGTTGTAAGACATCAGCAAATAGCTGGCGGTTCGACATTTACGTGCGATCGTATAACGCGCAACGTCATCGATTCTTCGAATAATTGCGGAACAAGGCACAGCGGGCTCGATGTTAATAAACGTACTTCAAGACCAACGACGTCAATCGCTTTATTCTAGTCTAAGGATTCCGAATGCGCGGCGAATATTTATTTACCTTGCGATTAGCTCTGACTTTCCGCTTAAAATCCTCGATGAACGCCGGGTCGTTATTCGCATCGGCCACATACGCAGGTATCCTGTAAATGTCCCTGAGGAAACCGCAGCCCACGTAGCCGCCGAATGTGCTGATGTATACGAAAGCCTGATCGTCCCTGCCGAGGTACACATGATGCGCTCCGAAGAGTCCGCCGAACAGCCAGAAGAAATAAGCGTAGAACGTGCTCTTTGTACCCCTTTTGTGCCCCTCGTCGTTCAATCCATTTTCTTTCGCCTTTTCCATGTTACGTTCTAGAGCAACAGGTTACGAACTATCCATTTTGTCTCACTATCGATTGATCGCGCGGACGATTACTTGCCCTGCTCGCGGACTTTCCGAAATCGCAACCGAAGGATTTAAGTATCGTCGCTAACTCTGCATTTTCACGAAACAATAGTTCACACGCAAAATAAATTCCCCGCTGTTTTTGGACTCGGGCACACCTGTCGGTGGTGTATCGTGGAATGACGGTCGTGGTTCCACTGCACCGGTTTCTGGTTCAACGCTCCGCCAGGTATAACGGTATCGGTTCAGGGACGTAACAAGCGGAAACACGTGAATTCCTAATAAAAAAGTTGGATCCAGCGGTTGATAGGATGACATAAACGGAGATTCCGTCAACATTTAGTAATTTATTAATCCTACAAATGTGTCCTCGGTGGCAACGTTTATTATACAATATAATTGCGGCTCGTCAAGTCGGGCATCCTGTTTTAAACAATCCTTTCAAGATGTTTAAAATGTCGAGTTTGCTGATCATCGATAACATCCGTAGTATTGTATTCCGTAGAATAAATAACAGAGAGAAACTTTTGTATAAAATGGTTTAAAATTGTTACTGCAAAATATTCTATTGTTTTTCCCGCAGGAACCACTCGTTTGCCGGCAATTTTGACTATTGAAAGCATTAGGGAAAATATTGCTGACTGTACTTGACTACGAATGTCCACTGATATTCGTGGGCTGCTTTCGTAGATCCTGTATAATGATGTTGACAATAAAATGCCACGTGTCATTTCTCAATTAGCCTAGTAACGTATTCGTAAAAGATTGGGATTATTGGTACAATACATTGGTACACTATTTTACACGTTATCAAATCTCTAGCAGCACAATATATTGGCGCAACATTGAGAACTCATGTCTAGTATTTTCAATATTGGTCCAATATTGTAAGATGGACGCATTTTCTTATTTAGCCAATATGTCTATTTAGCAATTGGCCTAATATTAATATAGCATTAGACCAATATTCTTATTACATTGTTAAATATTATATGATTATTATCAAGCAATATTTATTCCATGGCCAATATTGGCTTTACGTTGGACAATATCGGTCAATGCACTTCTAATATAACCAAAATTGGACCAATGTTTAGCCAATGTCCTCTACTACTGGGGATTAAAGTTTAATAAATCTATTTGTTTGAAATTAACAAATTCAACGAATTCAATTCGAGAATAAGCACAGTAGCGCTATCTTTTGGTGGTGTTGCAAACGTACTCTTCGCAAGTGCTTCTTATTTCCACATTGTGTTAAAGAAGTCGGTTTATATTTAAAAATACATAGGCAATATAATATTATCGGGCGTTCAATAATGGCGATATTTAGCGACGTGCGTAAATGACACGTTTATCTTTTAATAAAATTAACAAAGAATTATAGTCCCAACGGTACAAACTTAATACAGAATTTAGAGAAGACTCAGTATGCGCCACGCATCGATGTCACAAAAAATATTCTTCGGTTAATTTTGATATAATCCTTCAGTGTCCTGCCGCTTCGGGAGTTCGTGTACCGACGATCAGAGGAGGTCGTATCATTGATGTTGTGATTGTTTGGGAAGCAATATGGCGTCGGGCATCGCCGTACACCGATGTTAATAGTCAGCCGCCGGTCCATTTAACGTGAGTCTCCTCAAGTGTTCCGTATGTTGTCAACCGCATCTGCCGCTGTTCCTAAGGATGCGCGAGTATGGAAGAACGTGGCTCGATAAAGCCCACTCATAGGGAGTGGCGTCGCATCGCGAGGAAGGAACGTCGCAGACGCATACGACGGCTAGCCGCACAAGAACGTGATGCCAATGAAGGCCGCTTGAAGGCAGCACTGGAGAACAATATGGTGTATTTGAAATTTTGCGCGGAAGAGCAGAAGCAGAAGGAAGAGAGAGAAGAGCAAGAACAAAAGGAACATGCGGAACGGGAGAGGCTCTGGCTGGAGGAAGAAGTAAATAATTAGTTGTTTAAACAATTATATATATTTCCTAGTCGAGAATTTTCTTTTTATTCGCCTCCGAATTTTGTTTTGCAGCTTCTTCACCTTCGTTTTCCCACATCTTGATAATCAAAATTCTGTTATAATAAAGTTCGATTAGAAAATTTAATTCTTTCGGCATATTTTGAAATGTTAACTTAGAAAAGATATAAAACTGTATGTTTTTATGTAATAACATTAACGCTTGGAAATCGATTGCCGATGTAACATCGATTAGTTTTAAAAGTCAATCGGTGGATTATCACTGAAAACAGTGAATAGTCATTAATTTCCAGTTATAAGTACACTACTGAAAACCGCAGTGGTATACTTGTAACTGCAAATCAGTGACTATTCACTGTTTTCAGTGAAAATCCATTGATTGACTTTAAGAGAGATCATTACAGATATAGAAAAATACTATTTTTGCAAATTTTAAATAAATTGTTAATTTAGTAAACCTTGTAATAATTAACTACTATTTCTTAATTGTTTAGATAACCGCACAGAAAAAATGGCAAATTCTCGAGGAACAGAGGGCGAAGGAAGAACAGGAGAGACGTGAGAAAGAGATGAAAATTCACGAAGAATTCGAGGCGATACGTGCGGTACTGTTAAAGAAAAAAGAGGAGGAAAAGAAAGAGCGCGAGGAACAACTCCGTAAACAGGTGCAACTGCTGAAGGAGATCGACAATTACATTGATAACGGAGTGAAGACGCCCGAAGCGTTGCGCGAAGTCTCCGACAACCAGCCTACCAAGGACTTATGTCCATTTTTTTCAAAAACAGGCGCCTGCCGGTTAGTATAGATAGCGATATTCACACAATACGATAACATCATGATTTGTTAATCGTTCATAACAACATTGAAATTCTGAATATAATGAAGCGATAAGAATGACTTTGTTTCGTCTTTCGGAAGCTTTAGAAGTTTTTCGTTTGAAGCTATTAAAAGAATTGTTAAGAATGATTACATAAAATTAAAATTAAATTCAGTTAAATCAAAATAAATTGAAACCCAAACATTTTATTCAGACTTTAGTTAGAAGATTAACTTCAGTTGAAATTGTATTTTCATCTTTATTTTTAAAACCTGTATTTATCCATAATTGGTTGCGTTTAGGCATGGAAACGCGTGCTCCAAGAATCACCATAAAATCTTTTTGAGCAAAGTGATTTTGATACCCGGATTCTACTCACATTTCTCACTGGAGAAGAACTTGGCGGAATACGACACCGACGTGGCACTCGAGTTCGAGAATGCAGAAATGTTGCGTCACTATCACGAGTTTTTCCAGGATGTAATAGGTGAACTTGAGTCGTTTGGCAGGATTAAGACCTTTAAATGTTGCTGCAATATGGAGATTCACTTGCGCGGTAATGTGTACATTGAATATTACACGGAGCGAGACGCGGCTAGAGCTTGGAGAAGCCTGAGTGGACGTTGGTACGGTGGCAAACAACTCAACTGCGATTTCGTCCATATGATATCCTGGAGAAAAGCCATCTGCGGCATAGCCGAGTGCCCGAAAGGCAGTAAATTTTGCAATTTTCTTCACACCTTTAAAAATCCGCACAACAGGTACAACGTCAAGTATACCCTACGGGAAAATAAAATAAAGCAAATGCGAAAGAAACAGCTACGAGAATCGAGTAACAACGAACGAAGCGAAGAGAGGTTTGTGTTATTATTTAGCCTATATATTAAAATCATGTCTTGTAAACAAAACTTTCTCTTTTATCACATCTTATGTCACTAAGATAAGGCTGGCTTATCGATAGAGTTTTTAACTTAACGCGATGCAGAATAATAATTGTGAGAAGATAACGTTAATGCGGTGTGATAAAACAGATTAAATAAGAAATTGAATAAAAGCTGCATTATTTAATTATTCTTTCATCTGTTCGCTAGAAGTAAGTCTAAATGGGAAGAATCCGATCGAGATAGCGAAAAAGATCGCAACTGGAGATGGTCCGAATCCCCCGAGATTGAATTGAACCGCACGAAAGATTCAGAGACGGGACAACCCCCTTCCAAGAAACGGAAACAATCGGACAGATTGTCGAGCGATCACAAACAGAGAAAGGATGTAAAATTGAGAAGTTCTAAGTTCAAAATGTTGCCTAAGAGGAAACATCACCAACCGGATCGTAAGAGAGCCCATGATAACGAAGATCGGACTAAGGAAGAGTCCGCCAGTTATCCTTCCAAAAAGCGTAAGAAGAGATCGCGAAAGAAACATCGTAAAAAGTCATTAGAAGAAAACAGTAAGAAATCAGAGGAGACGTAGATCCAAAGAGAAGAAATATTTAAAGGCATATGCTCGAAGAAAAGGCTCCAAAGTTTGTGCAGGCTGTAAAGATAGGTCAAGCGGCTGTAATACCGACGAGACAATTTTATTGTTGCGACTCTTATTTCAAAGAAATAAAAGGATAGTTTTTCAATTCACACCAGTGCTTTTTTTCATTTTAATAATAAAGTACTTTTCTTACGTAACTATTGTGATTCTGTTTGTGATTCTAAACTGAACTAATTCAGTTCCATCTGCGAGATATTGTAAGTTAAATATTTTCATTTGAAATATATGTTACGTAAATCGTGTATTTAATCGTGACACCTCTTATCGCGCGATAAAGATATACATCCGTATTTGCCGTGCAATCGCACGTTTTAATCGACAGACATTTCGTAATCATGAGATTATTTTCGCTCACAGTTATTTAATCAAAGTATTGTTTCCCATTTTCTATAAGAGCAATGCAATAAACGTCACCATTATCGGTCGTTGATAGGAGATATCGTATCGGTTCGTACCACTGGTCATAATTGAAGGAAATAGCAAACTTTAATCAGTCACGTTTTAACGTGTATCTAGTGCGCTTTGAAAGATAAACGAATTCTCTGCTGTGCAATTGCAAAGAGGCACGGATCATGATTGCACTAAACATATTGCTTGTTTTGTGCTCGGTCCATCCCCTCGTTAATGGGGTGGGTTTTCGCGGATTCACTTTTCAAGGTTTGGAGGAACCGAGGTCGCTTGATAAAGATGCAGACAAGAATATAACTGATGGTTGGATCACCCAACCCCTCGATCACTTCAACCATCGCGACAATCGTACTTGGTCGATGGTAATTATTATCGTCAGCCAGTTTGGCTTCATTTCAAAATGCATATTTTTCTTCATTTAACACTTGTTCCATTGTTCCACACAGCGGTACAAAGAAAATTCTGCGTTTCTGAAGAAAGATGGTCCTATTCTAGTTATGATCGGCGGGGAATGGGAGATAACGAACGGGTTTCTGCAAACTGGATTGATGTACGAAATCGGCGTGAAACATCGCGGCTTGATGTATTACACCGAACATCGATTCTACGGACAGAGCAGGCCAACGAAGTATATAGTCCATAGTTGTTTTCATTGTCCAAAATTTAGAGCCCCTAAACTCACATTGCACCAAACGAATTTAGAGACACTAGCACGGAGAACTTGCAGTACTTGAACGCTGATCAGGCGCTCGCCGATCTTGCTTATTTCATCGAGACGAAAAAGAAAGAAAAGAACATGGAAAAGAGTGTCGTAATAGTGGTCGGTGGTTCTTACGCTGGAAACATGGCAGCGTGGGCACGTCTCAAGTACCCTCATCTCATCCAAGTATCGTCTGCGTTAGCTTTTTATTCATATCGTATAAAATAGAGGAGGAATAAAATAGAAAAGAATATTTTTCACAGGGTGCCTTAGCCAGCAGCGCTCCGATTCAGGCGAAGGCTGATTTCTACGGTAAATTTCTTGATCGAGATATAATATTCTCTAAGAATATCGCTAAGAACGCTTGATTTCGTAGAATACTACGAGGTTGTGACGACATCGCTTGGCAGACAGAGTGCAAATTGCGTTGAGGATGTTAAAACTGCATTCGCCTCGGTAGAGGAATTATTGGCCACGCAAGACGGGCCCGATAAGCTTAAACTCCTTTTCAAGTAAGTCTGAAATTCGGTGCAATCGCGTAAGAAAAAATTGATAGAATTTATTAGAGATAATAAGTAAAAATAATTATTTTTATAAATTTTTTCATTGCTAATATCGACTTTAGCTTGTGCGATGCGCCCGACGTAAAGTCTCCTAGTGATCTTGGTTACTTCATGAATACGTTGGCGGAGGTAAGTAGATTAATATAAACGATGCTATATCTCTGTTTCACTATTCACTTTTATTCTAGGTGTTCGCCGGAATCGTTCAATATGATACCGTAGAGAACGGTGAAACAAAAATTGCGGCGTTGTGTAATAAAATGACGGCGGCGCATTTAGGCAGTCCCCTGCAGAGACTGGCGCACGTCTTCTCGACTCAGGACAAGTGTCAGGATGTAAGTTACATTAATTTCGTGAAGAAATACCGAGAGACTTCATGGGAATCGGCGGCAGCCAAGAGCATCAGTGAGTTGAGACAGCCAATGGAAAATAAATGAAATAGCATACAGTGTGAGACGCGTTGTACAAGGGATGATTTTTTTTTGTTGCATAGTGAGACAATGGTATCATCAGACTTGCAAGGAATACGGTTACTATCAGACGACGAGCTCAGATAAATCAGTCTTTGGAACGCTGTTCCCGTTAGATTATTACATCAATCTGTGTATCGACCTGTATGGCGACTAGTAAGTACTTTAAAAATAACGAACTGATATCTTTCTCGTTCGGGTATCATTTATTTCCGTGTTCATAATTTGCGCGAATATACCTGATGCGTATCAAGATATCTCTTTACAACACGCTTTTTAAATGTGGAACGACTTTCAGTCAAATCGAATTATTTGTTGGAAGGAATCGAATTATTTTTAATCGTGAAAACGATAACGCTTGATTTTAGTTATAATGAAAAGATATTAGGTACACGGGTAAGAAGGACGAATATAATGTACGGAGGAAAGCTACCGGATTTACGAAACGTTATTTTCACGAACGGCGATCTCGATCCGTGGCATCCGTTGTCGGTGATTGACGAACTAAACGCTTCTTCACCTGTTATTTTTATGAAAGGTAATTAAGCAATGTATTGTACGAAGTATAACAGAACTCTGTATTTTTTCTAACACAGGAAGATAATATGATAATGCTATTATTTTAAAGGAGTTTCGCACTGCCGTGACATGCTTAGCGACGTAGACACGGATGGGGATAATTTGAAGGAAGCCCGAGCGAGAGTTCGTGACATAATTGGCAAATGGATTTCCTCATAAAAGTCCCTGTCGAGTTTTTTTTTCGCGAGTATGTTTGTTGACGAATTGTCGAAGAGGACGAATAGATGGAACGTTTTTTCCTGTTTATTAATTGTGAGGCATTAACAAAAATATTATATACAACGCTTGATATATGTCCACAGTGCAGTAGATAATACACATCGGTTATGCTGCATTCCGTATTGTTACTTACGTGTATATACGTAATACAAAAATAAAATTACATCCTCATAATACCAGGACTAATCTAAAGTGCTGTGCGATTTCCAAAATAAATCTGTATCTCATGATTCCGTGCTGCTTATCTCTAGTTGAAAAATGTATTTATCGAGGGGAAAACCGCCGAGGGTCATTGGTGGTGTACAGATTTACGGCATTACTGGGCATTTCTAGGCATTACTAGACATTTTTGGGGCAGTTTTGGGCATTAGTTCGGGCGTTAGACCTTGCTCGGGCATTATAAAGATAAAATAAGATAAAACAAGATAAATAAGATAAAATAAGATAATAAGATAAAGTAATGCCCACCGGGCATTAGTGGGCATTGGTGTACAAGATTTTGGTCAACGGTTTCCCCCTCGGTATTTATAAAGAAACGATGGAATTTGAAATATCAATCGACTTCTAGCTTCCTGAAGGAGCCGCTTATGCCACACATCGTGGTGTCGTTGGGCCCCACGCTGGAACAGCCGAATCCTTGCTTCAATGCCGAAACCGCGCCTTCCCGCGCCTTCTCCGAGTACAGCTCGAGGTAGACGCTCATCTTATCATGGCTCAGTAATGTCGGTTTCAAATTTATTAATTCTTGCCGCCACAGATCTGCATCGAAAAAAAAGTGTTTAGTTCATTAACTTTTCCTGTGGTGAAACGTATAATGCTTGAGGAGTCCGTAATCAAGGGCGAATTACCGATCATCTCCTTCATGGGGATGGTACCGCCGTATTCCTTGGGCAGCATGCTCGTGTCTACCTTGTGGTTAATAGCATCCTCGAGGCTTGTGTAAATTTTCACACGACTCCTGATCTTCTCGGAGATCAACGACATCCCAAAGTCGAGGGCGAATTTTATCGACGCATGCGCGTTGATCCCGTGGACCTCTTTGTGTCTCATCGGTACGGTGCGCTGAAGGCAATCCATTATTGTCCATTTATTATACTATTTTGTTATTTGTTATGTAATACCCGACTTACCTCTTATTTACGGATAGAGCGGATTAGACTGAGTCGACAAGTCCTCTACCATTTTGCACTTTTTGCAATAGTTAACGAGTTATTAATTATTAAAAATTGCTGCCTAGCCCGGCCTACCGTCCTATTCAAGCGCTTCAATTCAAACGGCCGCATCTCGCCGCGCGCTTGAATTCGGCGGTAGACCGGGCTAAGACAGTGATTTTTAATAATTAATAATTCGTTAACTATCGCGAAAATTGCAAAATGCCTAGGAGGACAGTCTAGTCCGCTCTATCCACAAATAAGATGTGAGATGGGTATTACATAACATTCTGTATATATATATTGCTTAATGTTTACACAAACAATTAAAAAGTGGTTTTAAATTTTAATTATACATACAAATAACATTCTCAGCAAAAATTTAATAATAAAAAAACTACATTTTGCCTAAGTCATCTTATGATTATAACATTCCAAGGTTGAAACAAATAGAAATTACTCCAAGTCGTAATTATACGTTCGCGTATAAACATGATAAATATTCCATTGAGTTTCATAACTCATCTAATGTTGTTGATGTATTTTGTGTAATTAATTCTTTGTGCTTATGACGTCAATAATTGTATTTTAATAAAAATTGCGAAATCGATACTTTGAACGTAGGACATATAATTATGAATCGTGTGAAATCTGATTGTGAGTTACAATATATATTTTTTATTATTATTCACAAAAAGAAACCTAAGATTGAAATCTAGCTTCACTCGTGATTATTATTAGAACCTGGAAATCTGAAGTATGTAAGAGCGAAGGTAGTGACAAAAAAATTTAATAAAGAGGTGCGTGTGTCTTGAATTAATCGATGTAAAATTACTTGTTCGCAGAACTAGACACAGTGTGTAATGAGACTCAATCAGCATCGTGGAAAAACTAGTGAAGTTTGCTTCAATTTTATAAACATTTCTCATGTTCTTTTTATTAAAAGGAACTTAGTGTTAGTTAAATAATAAAATATTTATGCAAATGTATATACTTCTATGTGTGGTTAATCTGCCAATGCAATTAACAACTTACGCTTCAATAAATTTGTTCGTAGAAATCTATATTTATTCTTCCTAATATTATTTTTTCTAATTAACAATAAACCTTAGTCTTTTTAAATAGAAACTTAAGTAGGTCTTTTAAAGATTAGATTCTTAAAGAAAGCAGAAGATGTAAGATGGAAAAACCGGTTGTTATGTCTATAGTTTGAGAACCGTTATAAAATTTTGTTACGTCATCCTTACAATTAGTCTAGACTTGCAGCTAAATTGGTTACGCCTGAAACGTCCCGCAAGAATGTAGAAATATTAAATGACGAATATCAAATATCATGACATCAAATATCGTGGAAAAGTGTACGTAAATATTTAAACAGCTATGTTTGTTTTCAAAACATTTATGTAAATTTACAGTAACAGCTGTTGAATTAGAAAAAATTTGCAAGTAAAAGAGAAGGTGAGAAATTAAAATAATTTTTGGATACTTCCTGTATTAAATTTAATTCGTAAATTTAAAAAATTGTTTACTCGCTAATCTTATGCTAATCTTCTGTATTCATGAATTATACAGTATTTTAAATTTTACCTCGCCGTTCTTTACGATGCGAACTGCCTCTTTGGGAGTGAAAAGTGTCAGATGAGGGAAACTGACGCCGGCACCATCGGCGAAATGCACGAAACCTCGCACTTGATTCTCCTCATCTTCCATCAGTGCCTCGTAAGTAATAGCATGGATTTTGCACATGTCGACGTTCGTGTATTTGTGAGGATCAAATACGCCTTAGGTGGAAATTGCACGTACGTGCGATTAGTAAGCAAACGCGACGGAAGAGGAGCGTCGAGAATTATTACATATAGATTCATCTCTTATTAGAGAATATCATTATAAAGTATCTTTATTAGGCATATCTTAAAAAGTACTTTCTCAACTATTTTTGCTCTTATAATTAGTAATAATTACATGCAATATCTATTGCAACAAACCAATTAACGAAAAGTACCTAAAATTTAATTTTGCAATCTTTCAATTATCATTTTTGTGTGATTATACTTCAAAGTATACATACCGTCTGACCTCTTTCACAAGGTCGTATCTCGATTTTACGCAATTTTCGGTGTTTCTGTTCAAACATTCATTTAGCAACCAGAATGAGCGTTTAAACAAAAAAACCGTGAATTGGGATACGATCTTGCGAAAGAGAACAGCATTCTGTGCATAAAAAGTGTCGAATAGATACCTGGTCTAGCGATTATAACACGACGGCCTTTTGCATCGCGACCAGGTGCGGCGAAGATATATCTAAAAGAAGAAATCACAAACAAGATCCAGCGTTAACGGGGTAATTTGAAAAATACCCACCCCAAGGATAGTAATTCTTCCATTGTCGGTTCTGTAATGTCCAATTTATGGAATGCCATTCGATACACCTGACGGAGCAGCAGGTATCTTTCCACGGCCTCCTGGGCCATCGGGACATTGAATTTTTTGCATCGTAAGAATCTTAGTAAGAATCGTGCATCTAACAAAAGATATCAAATTAGCCAAGCGCCTAATTGTCGACATATACCGTAATTGCAAATTCGATGCTGCTCGTTAAAATTTCTACAAGGCAATCGTTGCCAAGTCTTACAAAATCGTGAAGCGATTACAGCTATCTACGCACTTAATTATCATTTTAAAACAATTTAAATATTTTTAGTAGTGAAATTACTGCGTTTCTCACGATGTTGGATCTCTCTTAGGAAATTAAATTCCCACGTTAATATTCACGTTGATTATATTGGGTTGATGCATAAGTTCGTCCTACTTTTTAACCAAAAACATACCTATTATATTTTTTCGAGATACATTTAATCAGTGACAGCAGCAATCTCACGAGTTATCGTATGAGCATTAGATTTGACCAAGGCCAAAATTTCGCAACTGTCGATTTCGGAAGGCCGTCCAGAACGCTTCTCGTTCGTGAGATTAATATTACCATTGCAAAATCGTCGGAACCATTTACGAATGGTGGATTCTTCTCCGTAAACAGAACATATTTTCTTTAACAGCAGTTTTGCCTTTTCAAAAATAGAAAAGCATAATATGCCGAAAGTCATACTTAAAGTATCCATCTGTATAAATTTACACGACTCACAAACATCACTCGACGACAACAGATTTGACAGTTTCCGTTCAATTGCTACTTTCAAATGTTTACTACGTCATATAAGTGTGAAGTTGATAGCAGATCGAATTCGTATATAAAGTGCGCGAATGTTTAAAACCGGGACGAACTTATGCATTAACCCAATATAATGGCGTAGCCTCACCGAGACGGCAATTCTGAATGCGCGGATTCATTTTAATCCAGTTACGCATCTGTTCGAGGGCCTGATCTCTGGTATTTTTATCTTCTCTGAGTTCGTCCTTCGCCATCTTCTGTAGCTCCGCCGAGAGGGTGCACTCATAATTATCCTCATCGACTACCCATTCGACTGCTCCCATCTTGATTTTGTTCGAGAGACGTCAAGTGATTTATTTAAATTTTCAGAGCTCTGGAATTACGACATTACAACATTTTCACATGCTTTTCGGAAATTTTAAAGCCGCTTTTTTCAGATTGTATAAAAACTACACCTCTGACCGCTATATTTTTTTTCTCGTAAATAATTTATTTAAAAAAAATAACATAACGTTTCTTAATAAAATACATAACGTAATGATCCTTTTTTTTTGTAATTTTGCGTCAAGCGCATTCTGACGTATTTAGCGAAAACTGATTTATTATCGTCTCGTAATATTCTCCGACATAATTATGCAAGCGCGACGAGACGTATTTTCACTTTCTTTCGAATCGTCAGATGATACTGTTTGGTGACCGGCTGACACAGTTTCTGTTCAAAGTCGCGACGACCACGGCGAAGGTGTTCAGGAAGAAATACGCTCGCGCGTCTCTTTCACTTCTCTTGGAAGAGTGTATCCGTTACCTCGCGCAAGTCGAACGAGGACTCTCGGACCTTTCGTCAGTTTATGACATAACGATTAGTGTGGTACCATCGCGTTTAAGCCACGTGTTTGAGTCAGGACGCCTGTGTGCGCACCGGCCCGTTTCGCAACCGCTTTCTCCGATTATGCAATGCGAGTCGGTTGTTCACCTATCTTTGTTCGCCGAAACAAAACGAGTGGTTTTCAAAAGAAGTATCATTATCATCTCGTCACGTTACTTTATTAATCCTGCTTCACAATTATGTCGTTTTAGACATGATTGCAATGGCGGACAACCCCCTTTTCCCCCGCGACGCGAAGCGAGTAGGAAGAGCTGAGAATGAAACATCTCTAACAAACTGGTACACTGTCTTAGTGAGAACTGAGAGAGAATATTTCACAATGGATGCGGCTAGTTGCTTTCTCGATTCTAAGTGCGTTTATTACCGAAAGAAATGTATACCTTAGTCTCTTGCCTCAATCACTCCCTTCTACCTCACTAACTATGGACCTCCGCATATCGGAGCGAAGGTAATTAAGGTTGTATAACTCTGTTGCAATATTGCCTTTATGTATCGCGAACTGGACCCATAAAAATCCTAACGTAAAGAATACGTAATGTCCGCCACGTTATGTCATCGTTTGAAGAATGGAGTTAAAAATAAAAAGCTTCGCCGGCAAGCACGATTGTGTCTGCTAGATACATGCGTCGAATTTCAAGAGAACTGTTATTGAAAAGAAAAAGGAAAGTAGCGATCATCGAGTCGTAGAAACGCCGTATCTCGCGTTATATCGGTTTCGTATCCGTGTTCAACATCGATGAAACGTAATAGCGACAGCACATACAAAGCACACAGTACTACTATGATTATGATAGAGCCGGTTAAGGGTATACCGTCTTCTTCCGCGTAGAAAGTGCCACTTATCGCAGCTACTCGCGAGCTTTCATCTCTTGAGTGCGCGCGTAAGAGCTTTTTTTTCCATAAGAGAATATGTTACGTCGATTACATCACGCCGCTATCCATACTGCCGTTTTCATCTCGGTCCATGAGAAAAGATTTTACCGCTCGTTATTACGATACGATCATGTAATCGTTACGCTTGCCTCTTCGCGTATTACAAGGATTATGTCACGGCGTTTACGATCGGTTAACGCTATTGCGGCCTGTTCGTCTAATGAGCTGAATCTCGCGCTCTTCTTGACGCTCGAATTTCCTTGAAAAATGCCAATTTGTGACAATGACGACTCGCGTATCGTACTTCCGACCTTTAAAATCGGCCTTTACGACCAAGGACGAGACAAGCTGCTCCGAAGATCGCGATTGAAATTCGCGCGGCGTTAATCGATTCGACAAATTATTCTGGCGAACGTGATTGGAAGATTCAATGGCAGACGTCACAGACAAAGTCATTATGTTGTCGCCACATAATTATGACTTTCAACCCTCTCGCGTCATATAATTTGCGATTTGAATGGCTAAAATATTTATGTTTCAAGCAAATTTATCCATCGTTTGGTAAAAGAAAAACTCCACCTATCGAGAAACGTTTGTGATTATAAATTTGCAATTTAGTATGCGTCAACTCTACATTACTCGTGTGATTTTTTCCAACGTTCTCCATTTATCTCCATTTTCACTGTTTTCTATGATAATTTACAATGAAGTAAAAATTAACAAAATTCCATACATTTTTAAATAAAAATAAGGGTAAAACTTTTTTTAAATTGGGAAATAAGTTATGTGGCATTTGATCGATAAAGAATTTTATTCTATGAATTTAGTTAAATTTATAAAATTGGAATATACTTTACACTGAATGTGAGTAACGTAGGGTTAAAAAATACCAATTTAAAAGCATAAAGCTAAAATATCATGCAAAATAACCGATTATTGTATGAATCATGTACTCTCGATTATAAATTGTTGTCAATTTGCATTTAAACTTCTCTTAACCTTTAAAAGAGAACGTCATGGCGTTAAATGTTCGTTGTTGTTAAGCTAAAGCTTATCGGATTCTGATAAAATAAATTAAAATAAGTTTTTTGCCTACTATTTCCTCTTCTAAAAGTCAGTTTCTCGGAATTTTTAATTTTTATTAATTTATGAAGAAATATCAAAATGTAAACACTGAAGTGATTTAATTTCATCTATAATAAACGTCTACAAGAATGGACAACCACTATAGAAAAGATTAAGAATATAATGTGCCAAGTGTATGTTATATAAATTAATTTAAAAAGTTCACACTATTGCGGCTTACTCAATCTGCTTGTCGAGGAGCCGCGCGAAACCGAAGCGGCGGAGATCTGTGTCTCAAGCACTATCTTACAGAGTATCCAATATGATTATATGAACGTACTTTGATCGTAGTGCTCCAGGTGCACACTCGGAAGCGACTGCCCCCCTCTTGCTGGTCGATCGCTCTTTTATAATTTCCACCGCGTCGCCCTTCCTTCACGCCGACTCTTTTCCAATCGCGAACGAGCGTATCCTCGCGGTAGCCCGTGAGTCCTTTGGGGTACAAGACGGCGACCTCGCTTTTGTTCTTAATATACGGCGCAAATTGAACGTAATCCAACTTTCCCGTAAATGTTCCGTCGAAGGTAAACTCATGGACTGCGCTAGTTAGTTGCTCTTCTACTCTCCTTATATAGATACGCAAGTAGTATCATCGGTGCATAGAATCCTATCAGTTTCATAATTACTCCCGGTTGTACAAGTTCCGTTTATCGTCCCCTTCGAGGGGAAATCGCTGACCAAATTCTTGTACACCAACGCCCGCTAACGCCTAGTGGGCATTACTTTATCTTATTATGCCTAGTGATGCCCAGTAATGCCGCAAACCTGTACATCAGAGTGCCCTCAGCGATTTCCCCCTCGATCGTCTTCTATCAGACTCGAGTGGCAAAATCAGGTTCAACCGGTTAAAGGTAATTGGTCGCAAAAATGTTTTGTACTTTGCACAATCTACTCCAATTACAATAAGCACTCGGACATCAATACACACTTTCTGAGACATCTTAATAACATTGCTCGATGATGCAAGATAAGAAATGTAAAAAGAGACGTAAAAAGAACATGAGGTGGATCTTACGAACAGCTTAAAATAGTTATAATCAGCCTTTAGAAGATGAATTTATTGGCGGATAATTAGGCTCAAAGGTAGCTCAATTTTAGTTTCTTGTAGCAAAAATGCACCTCGCGCAACGAAACGAGCAGCACCTAATTTTGTGTTGAAATATCTACAACGATGAATAAAAAAAAGCGCAATGTATTTTGCCAGTGTGTCATAACTAATTTTTATTATACTTAAAATAATGCAAAATACAATACAATACCGGCAGATATTAGCACTACATACAAGCAAAATATATTGCGTTTTTTTACTCATTATCATAGATATTTCAACAAAAATTAAGTAAGACTCTTTTTGTTCCGTGGAGTGTATAGCCGAAAACAAAATTAAGAAAAATAGAAGCACTCTGGAACTTAATAAAGAATTTCGAAGATTATTCGATTAGTGAAGTAACAAACCATCAGGAAACAAGGAATTCCAGTGTCAAAAGGATCGGAAGTTCGGTTTATGGCACGAACAAGAGAAAATTCGATGGCATCGATAGACAACATCCTCGAATCAGGGAAACCAACTACCTATCGCTATTATCCGTGTCATCAAAACGGATGTAAAAAATGATGTTCGGTAACCAAGCTGAAAATTATCGGGTCGCATTCGCGTTTATCTTCGATGGCACCTTAGGGTTCCACGACGAACGAGGTAGCCATGAGCGCTGGCGTGCTAGCAGGATGATGTCTGTGTCGCCACAACCTTGGCGAATCGTTTTAAAAGCCGAGTCGGGCAAGAGTTCCGTTCCGATAAACAGGAAACGTTCGGCAGGTTCTCCAGTTTCGCGGTTTCCACAGGGGAAAGGGCGTTGGGATTGCTATAATAAACTAATCATGCGTTTTCGTGAACGTGTACATACATGAACTTTCTATTTCCCGTCACGCGGGACATTCGGAGAAGTGGAGGAAAGGGGCGAATTGTAAGTGCCGCGATGTAATACACATAGTCTTTGCGTGCTACGAACGTAACTTCTGACTAGTTGCATCACATCTTATTGGTGCACGTAAGAGGTAAATGAGAGATACTTTTTTTTAACCTGCAGACGTAACGTCACGAAGCGAAAATTTTAGCATTGATCGATCTGTCTTTAAGTTGCATCACAAGGAAATTACATTATGTAGGCTTTAATTAAGGGAGAAATAAATAGAGTGCAAGAGATTAAGATCGTATCCTGATAATTAAATAATCTCGTATATTAGAAAAGTGCTAGTAAATGAAAATGTGTACAAAATTATTTACAAAATATATAACTCACTTCCGCATTTGTCAGTCGACCACAACATCTAGGAGAATTATTAACTATACGAGGTAGTCGGCAGTATTCCTATTAACTTTGTGTTTAAACGATTTCTCCGACCTCTTTACTTCGTTTGAAAACTTTTTTTTATAGAGATATTGAATCTTATTAAATTACAATATTATTATAATATTATTATATTATTATAAAAATATGTATTGTCTTAATTAAAAAAATAATTTTACATCACTACAATAAATAATCAGTTTCGGCTCAACTACCTTTTCCGTAAAAATATTTATAAATTACGAGTAAACAACTCTAATTTGTTTGTATAATCTAAAAAATTAATATACTAATTACTAAAAATTATGAGATAAATGGATTAAATATTATAGTTTCGAGGACACCAAATAATAAACTCAATACGTCTCTAAAAGACTTACAATTCTATACTAAAATCAGAATATTTCATGTAAATTAAAGGCACTAACCGAATTCCTGACTACAATCGATTTATCAGATTTACAAATAGTCTTTCTCTCAAGATTAGGCACTTAATCCTTCCTCAACTTATTTCTATCCATTAGAACGATGACGCAAAGAAATTTCTTCTTTCACGCCTTGGAAAACATTGCACTTACGCTTACCCAGAAACAATTACTTATAGCTAAGGGAGAAAGAAAAAACGAAATATAATCAAGCAACTTTTCAATTGCATAAGAGCGATCAGTGATAACAACGTAACTTTTATAGTATAGACATAATATGTCGTTATTTAACGTATGTATGTAATATCACGGTTGGTTATTCGCTCACAAATCGCCACGAATCCAAATGCAACTACAGAAAGAAAGTTTCAAAGTCCGCGATATTACATATATACTGGAAATCTTAATTCACATAAGTTTTCTTACTCTTAATTGCGCACAACCATGTATCGATTACGTGTTTCACCGGACGTAAGTGATACGATATTACACATCATCACTTGTGCAAATCACTGCTCGTCTTCGATATCCACAATCCGGAAGTAATAAGTACGAAAATTTCATAATGGGTTCGAGCCGACGGACCGTGGCCGTCATATTCGTATCCAAGCTGGCTTTCACCAATGAAACTCGCAATCAGATCTCTTAAAATTATCGCAATTATTTCCTGTGAATGAAGAAGATTGATCGACGATTTAATAAGTATTTTTAGAAAAGTGGAAACGCAAAATATTTCTTATGTTCAGATAATATATTCACTTGGTAAAAACTGTATGATTAGTGATAGGCAATTTATGCTTTTACGAGTAAACACCTATTGATTATTCCAGGAGCAAAAACCTGATTATGCTTTTAATATGCGTGAGAAATCTAGCGATTTGCGCCAATTATGCATATGTTAGATCTCTCATTTATGCGTGATTATGTTATTTCGAACTTTTACGTAATATATAATAGCTCATGACTTGTGAAATTGTATAAAAATAAAAAATATAGGAATAGAACATCTTAACAACTCTCTTTGAACAAAAATTCCAAAAACTATGTATTCCAATATATGAGAAGGAAAGGACAATACAAGACAAAGACAAAATATAAGTGGTAATACGACATATTTACTCAATAAAACATAGAGAACGCTTATATAGTCAGGTCAAGACTAGTGTCACACTGACAAAAACTTAAAATCTTGATAAAATATTGAAATATTTCATCATTTCTCTAAAAACCTAACAAACTTATGTGGGCTACGTTCCACTTAACAATAGCAATGTTCGTGGAATCATTTCATCCTTGTTTCTTAACCAAAAGTTAAACAAAGACAAGATTGTGTTTACGAGCGTTGCGATTGTTAAGTGGAACGTACCAACAATTTGCCCTAAAATTTGGTTACACGCGCAACGTTTCACCTTGTATCTTTACACCATGCATTCGTCGCTCCTTTTCCCCCACCGTCTCTCTCTTCTTCCCTGGAATTTTGAGTTCAAGATTCTCCAATCGAGAAGCTTCCAGAAGCTTTCAAGTGAATAGAATGACAAAACAGGAAAAGTGTATGATTTTGAAAAATATACATCCGTTTCCCCAAACCCAAGTTTTTTTTAAATGCAAATCCCACTTTTTGTGGCAATTATACGATAAATATGAGAGAATCGCATTATGCTACGCAGTTTTATTATGCGTTCTTAGACGTTTGAAATCTGCACTGTGAACAATTTTCATCGAATAAACCTATTAAAGAATGTTTTCGATGGTTAATTTTTCCGATTACGTTTTCCGATTAAATTATAGATACATCCGACGAAATTTATCTGATAAAATGCAGTTACCGATGAAATTTGATTGAAAAACCGATCATATTTTTCATCGGATATACAAGTTAATTGGATACAACAGTTTTGTTATTATGTAATTGGATTATTCGATTATATTTAATCGGACATTGTTCTCAGTGTGTCAATATTAAATGTGTACTATGCATAACTATCAAAATTAGAGCTTAAGAACAATTTTGGAAACATTATGCTATTATGCTTAAAGCATAAAGTGCCTAGCCCTATGTATGATTTTAAGATTACCACAATACATTGTAATCGAGACAATAGATTGTAGATAATCGAGATAATAGATCGAGACAATACATTGTAATCGAGGTAATTACGTACACAAAGAAAAGATGCAGTATTTATTAATTCAGTCGGGAAATAAAATAATTTCACTAGTCTTTATGTATCATAGATAATTTTAGTCTACGCACTTTCTCGTCATAGACTGCTTTACAACCGATGGCACTGTTCTGCAGACTCTGTTTAAAAAGATCCACGTCGCTACTACTGATTGTGAGTTATATTCTGCTCTTTCTCTCTCCCCCCCCCTCTCTCTCTCTCTCTCTCTCTCATCGTATCTGTAAAGTACATTTCCAAGACATCCTCGTTCAAAGGATAATAAGAAAAAATTGTGATATCGATACATTCATCAGTGAAAACTTTCTTGATCACATTTATTCTATGTTCATTTCAAGATTCACTTTATTCCATCTATTTATTTTTCGCGACCAATTGTCTATTAGCTCGAAATTTAGAACAGTCGCGGTCATGGGCCCATTCTTACGTATGTCTTAATGTATTTTTAATAAGTTTACGACGTCCGCCAAATCGCGTTGCCTCAGGTTTTCCACCATGACTAGATTCGGATATAAGAAAATTGAGTTCATACTTAATCGGCGGAAAATACTGACGAAACAGCGTACTTCCTCGGGGAATTCTTTTTTATGACTATCACTGTATATAATTATGAGGAGATTAATATCTTCGAGGTGTGTCAAGCTGAAAATATCCACCCAGTACGTTTATCGTATAATTTTAACTATGTATCTTCCCTTTTAACTCTACAACGGCATTTGCAAAGTCATTGCTGTCTTTGAGAACGTTTTTGTTACCCAAAAATAGTAAGATCAAATTTGCGTATATTAAAGACAGTAACACAAGCACGAATGCTTAATCCCTTTAAACAGCTATTCCCGAGCAAGCGGATAGATTGTGTTCTTCGTATCCCGAAATCCTTGGAATGGCTATTCAGGTTATTGCAATCACTTTACATAGACAGGCAGGAATGCCTGGACATTTCTATAATTATAAAATACTTTATAGAAATGTTCAGGCATTCCTGTCCGTCTGTTCACGTCTGATTAAACTATGAAATGTCTCCATTTCGGACTGATGAACCGATCTTTCGGATGACAATCCGGAAAAGCTGCTTGCCCTGACCCGTTCGGTCTGCTCCTCGAAGTCGGGCATTTTCAGGTCAGTTTTGCATTGCACCATATTAGTTTCGAAGCGTACCAGCCTCTTCTGGGAGAGTCTCCCCGAGTCTTTTGCGAGAAAGACCTGTCAGGATAACCTGCAAACCACAACATGTGCTTACACTTTGTCTTTATTACCGATATTTGTCCCGCGAATCGGAGCATTCGAGGAATGTTCAATCAAGAAGTTTACCTGATATCCATTTGTTCTTATCGCTTGCAATTAACGCAAAATTGAACGGGAGTACTCGAGGATCAGAATGTTAAATGCACCTCGTATCGGCGTACAATCGAGTCAGGATGAGCGAGAAGCGGAGCGACCAGTGTTTCCTTAGCTCGGCAAATTCGAAACACAACCGAAGCTGAGCTGTGCCAACGACCGTCAGTCACAAAAATTCTAATTGTCCTAGACGTTATATGACCTATAGGTATGCCCATGTTCAAACCCCGCGTGTCATGCGCGTGCCAGTGTGATCTGCCACTTCGAACTATCACCAACGAGGAAATTATCGGAGGTCCGTTGGTCCTCAAATTGCGTCTACGTATTCGGGCCTTTAAGTAGACCTTTTAAAATGTAAATCAAAGAAGAGGTCTGTCGTAGGAATCTGTTTCTTTCGAGCTACACTTTCTACACTTCTCGCCATTTCCTCCTCTATCTTCCAAAGCGCGAGCCCATAACTCGAATCTGCTCCGAAAGAGCGAACGGTGCAAACGAAGTGGGAAGCCGCGGGCTATCGGCCATCGCTGTTCGGCCCTGAGGATGCCATAAAACGGAGTATCTCACGTCTCACAACTGGTCCAATCGAGATGCTCGGTCTTCAAGGTTCGCGCAAGAAAAAAAAAAAGTTTGACGGCCGTTTTTTCCAATCGCCGAGACGGCACTTGGACCATCGAACACTGACGCACGCGTGCCTCACTTGCGTCTTGGTGGACATTCACGCGGTCCAATTCGCGCGTTCCTTCGTCTCGCAACATCGCAGGTCGCGTTCAGTGGGCCAGCAGCCCAGCCTGGTGGTTCCGACCGCTTCCGGCCGTGCCAGGCCAGCCGGGACCGCCTCAGTTCCTGCTCGCGTATCGACGAGCGAAGGCGAAGCGTTCCCGACGCGGCGCGCGCCGTTCTCCCTTGTGATGTGACACCCGGCGGTGGTCGAGCGTGAAGACGGTGCGGCAGCGACGAGAGCCGAGAGAAAAATATGCGGCCGAGCGCGGTTTGCCTGTCGCTCCTGCTGCTGGTGGCCGCGGCGAGCGCGAGGATCCACAAGCTGGACATACGGGTTGGTCGCGTCTCCTAGACGGCGCGTCCGTCATTATCGTTAATCACGCGCCTGATAATGACCTGGGGGGGTGAAAGAGCGATGCGCGAGTCCGAGACAGCGCTTCGAAACGCGTCCACGTTCATCGCTTTATTCATCGAGTCATCATCGATTCTTGCGCGCGATAAGATAAGATCCTTGCGAGTCAAATAGAGTCAAAACGTGTGGTATACAGGAGGCGTGTATCGGCCATACGGAATCGTGGGAACCGAGTGGTATCGTTAGTGATATCATTGCGTGCGTCAATAATTTTGGAGCGCGTTACGTCGTTTCACGTCGCGAGAAAATTACGGTCCTACCAACTGCGCGATCGATGACAGCTGATAGACGTCTGGCTAGATAGGCGCTAACGCAAGGATTTTTCCGGAGCAGGGAATGAAAAGTTCTCCCGTAGAGATGAGAGTCGAGAAATGCTGGCGCGATTCGTCGGATCCCTCGCACCAACCTGTCCCTTTTCAAAGAAAACGACCCTTCGGTCCCTTCCGCCCTGCCTTCGACGAAACAGAGAATCCCCCTCGCTCACAGAAGCGTCGTTCGTATTTCAGAAAGACGGGAGGCATTACATTACCCTGAGCACATTCGGCTTCTACAAGGGTGGCATCCTGACCGTGAATCTCACGGGCTTCAAGTTCGAGCCGGCGGACGCCGAGAAAAAGCTGACACCGGAAAGCGCGAGCAAGGCTGTGGTGAGATGCTAATAATAATCAATCCATAATTTCCACATTCCGCCTTTACATCCACGGTACACTGTGGGATCAATCAAGGCTCCAATGGGAAATTTGGAGACAATGCTTTTTTTTATAAAACAAAAATACAACGAGAGTTGCTCCGCGGCTGTAAACGACGAAGAAATCAATAGCTCTTTCACGAAGTCTAATGTAAAATGCTGCAGCACTAGGTAGCGCGATTCTATCGTATTAATATTATTACAAATATCAGTAATCAAATTCTATAATCAAATTTTTCGTTTTGACTTTAACGTAACTATTCATATTATTTTATATAAATAATATGATTACATATAATGGGCCAATAAGCTAAACGAGCGATGTAGGTTTTTAAAACATTTTAATAAATAATGTGATATGATCTTAGTCTATGTATATAATTAAAACGGGAATAATAAAAGAATCCCTAAATACAAATAATTTAATCTAACGAACGTTTCGACAGTACTTTGTCTTTTTCAGCGTGTATATATTGAAAGTCAGAACGAACCCATTTTCCGGAGACTAATCCCAGTAGTCAGTTTTTAAAAAACAAATGGTTTTAAGTTGGTCCAGTAGTATCAATCCTGTTCTACATTGGCAGATGTAAAAGGGATTGGTCAAGGTGTGTCCAGCTAATTGTCGATGTTATAAAATAGTGTTTAAAAATTTCTTCGAGAATCACGGCTTCGTTCTTCCACTCTCATGTCTTGCGTGTGACTCATACGCAATTTTTAAACACTATTTTATAACATCGACAATTAGCTGGACATACCTTGACCAATCCCTTTTACATCTGCCAATGTAGAACAGGATTGATATTACTGGACCAACTTAAAACCATTTGTTTTTTAAAAAACTGACTACTCCGGAAAATGGGTTCGTTCTGACTTTCAATATATACACGCTGAAGAAGACCAAGTACTGTCGAAACGTTCGTTAGATTAAATTATTTGTATTTAGGGATTCTTTTATTATTCCCGTTTTAATTATATAGACTAAGATCACATCACATTATTTATTAAAATGTTTTAAAAACCTACATCGCTCGTTTAGCTTATTGGCCCATTATATGTAATCTTATTAATTTAATACGAGCCTAATATTGTTTTTAATATAAATAATATATTCGTATTATTCATGCAGGACGGTCATCAGAAAGCGATTGGAACTAAGTTGTTATTTTTTAACAAATGGGCGGAAGAAAATGAATTAAGTCTACGGGAGAAATTCGTCATTTCGATTAGCACGTAGCAAAAAGAACGTACGTTTGTGGAATGCAGGAATAACATTATAAAAAATTAAAAACGTGACTGATCGCAAAGGTCGACAGTCAATTTCAATAAAAGTACCTTTAATAATTTCCGTAATTTAAAACGGAGTTAGTTGTTCCAGATACTAATATTAGAAAATGTGCGTAATAGTTTTTAAAAGCGCTTCTCAGTTATGAATTCAAATAGTCATCCTTTCGAAAATATATATTACGCATCGCCCTGCAACCAGGGGCGAGTTGTCGACTCTTTTTCGTAACGTTTATTTTTACAAGCGCTTACATGTGCGTTTCCTTTGCACTACATGCTAGTAAAACTGACGAGTTTCTTCTACTGCGCGGCGTTTAAATGATCCCATCTGCCCACTCGTCACAAAGTAACTATTGAGGTCCAGCGGCTTTCCGATGGTAATTACTCTATAATTAAATTTTTCCGAGCCACTATTCCATCTAATATAAAAGGAAAGGTGTGGTCCTAAGACTCGTGCCCCAGTTTTTCTCGTAATCGAGCCTCGATTGCGAGGCAGCGAAGTTGCAAGAAGACGTCGCTCTGACGTGCAGCAACAGACACCTGTTTCTGTCTTCCGCACTCACGAGGAGAGCCGCCCGCGTTTATAAATAAGCGCGCGAATATGCGGATGTATCATCGCCTTGTTAGATTCGTGAATGACTTGTTCACGCTGCAGCACACAGCGCACGAAAGCGTTTCGTTATTTATTTTGCGGCGCATGCCGTTATTTATTATCGTTGTTACTAACAGTGTCTGTATCGATTCCTAGAAATCCTTATCTATCCTCTGTACGAAGAGAACCCTCTTATTTACTTGAAATTTTTAAATTTAATTTATTTATCACCACGACTTATTAGAATCTGACGTTATCTCTTTGGCAAAATCAAAAGTCAAGTGTAAACGATTGTAAAATCACGCAAATGACATAAGTTTCTTTTCCTATCGTTCACAGCAATAGTACCTTAATTTTGTTCGCAGTTTGGATTCAGCTTGGGTCGAACGCTGATCGACGCCATTAATCCATACGTGCACAATCACCTGGACGGGTGCTTGCTGCAAAATGTTACGAATCTCAAGACGGAACAGAAGGACGACAGCTCGATCATATACTTTACCATGGACTTAAAGAATTTAACGTATGTATTGAAACGCGCAATCGCCACGTGGCAAGCGACGCTGGAGATTCGCAATTCGATTTCGCTGTTGCAGAATGCAGGTGAACTGCAGTAGCAACGTACACGCGGCGCACATCTACAGGGATTCCAGCGCGGTGTTGCGGTATCGAACAAAGAGGAGTTCGCTGTCGGAGAGATTCAGCGATACCGCGCTCTTCCCACGGAGAAAACGGAACACGTCGCACGGTGAGTCGCGGCGCTCTGCATCGGATCGCAATACCCCAAGTTATTTCTACCCCCGTCACGCGGCAGTGAAACTATGCGAGGTGGCGTGTCAACGCGAGAGTAAATTATCTAACAAATGTCGGGACGGGACGCCGCGTACGTGCCGCGTCTCATCGATTTTCCACGTCAATCCGACGGTTAATTCCTCCACGCGAGCTGCGTTTATACTTAACAATATTGCACAACGCGCGACATGTGCGTTGGACCTGCAACATTTGGCATATGCTTAAAAACGTGATAATTATGCGAGAAGACGGATAGGCGGTGGCAGATATCTCGTTTAGCTTCCACGCGTCTTGCACAATCCGGGAGCTGATCTCAGACGCGACTTGCCTCGAAAAATCCCGCTCTAAATTGCCATTTGCTATGAATAGAGCGATGAAATCCCATCTAGGACATACGCGAAAAACGACGTCTGGTAAATGTTATCAGCAATGCGTGCGCTGTGTATCGAAAATAAACCATCACGGTATTTGCCAGATATTTTCGACACTTCTCCACCGACTAATATTAGAGATGTAAACTGCAACGGGTAGAACAGGTGCAAACTGGAGACTTGGCTTATAGTCCTGAAACGAGTCATTTGCCGCGTACAGCAATTATTATTGTCCTGACAATTTCATTTCGAGAGCCAACGATCGATTTCATTCCCCAATCTTACGACGTGAAGACATTGTATGTTAGTGATTCATAATATTAATTTATATTAATATTAACAAACACACAATGCAACGAGAGATCTTTGTTAAACATACAATTACTACGATTTTAGATTGAGCCTTTCTTCGTTAAAAAAGAACCGATACTCTTATGAGACCTTTAACATCCTGTATCTTTGAAACGAGGCCTCTGAAAAAGCAATCCTTAAAAGAAAAGGGTGTTCAAGCAACAGACTGTACAAATATGACCGAATTTAGGAATTCGCGAACAAGCGAACTTACGACGCTCGAAGCACATAATTCGCGTTATTCGGGCGAATGCTTTTAACGATGATCGATGAGCATGCGGTCACGAGGCGACATCGGTGATCGAACGCCGCCGCAGATGAGGGACGCTATAATTAACTCGACCCCGATCTTATAAATAACACAAAACTTAGGTATTTTGAAAGATTCGGTTAGGTAACTGTCTGTTTTGCGCATAGTACGTCCGTCACCAGCGATGTCTCGCCTCAATTGCCTCAATTTGCGAACACGCCGACGACGACTCATCCGAGGCTATGCCGCGGGACCACCTTTCGCGCGGGCGGACCTTTCACGCCTTTTATTTTCCGGAATTTAACGCTAGATAAAAATTCGTCTGCGCAGTGCTCGAGAAGGCCGCCGGTCGCGGCAATGACCCGAGGCTCGGGTCGGATAGCAACGCGTGCTCTCGCCTGAGACTGCCGATGACGATGGAGACGACACCCGAGGGCGAGAGATCGTACAACACGAGCCTCGTCATGTATGTCGCCAGCGAGGAGGAGGAGGGCCTGTACAATCTCTATTTTCACAATTGTCAGAACTACGACAATAACAAGGAGCCGCTGCTCGTGGATTTCACGGTGAGCTTACTTGGTGGACGATTAGGGGATTAAGCGAACGTTCATCACGCTGAAGAAACATTCCTTTCCGCAGGTGCAAATCGCGGAGATTAATAACGATAACTTCCTCAGCGCCGGCGAAATGCCATTGCCGGCTCTGTATTTCACGATGGCGCTGCTCTTCTTCTTGTCCGGCTGCTTCTGGGTGTTTATTCTTAACAAAAGCAAGTAAGTGGAACGTGGCAATACGAGTCGTTTAGAGGAATAAACTGTGAACGTTATTCGTGTGATATAGGCATTCTGTATTCAAAATCCACTACTTAATGGCTGTCCTGGTGTACCTGAAGTCCTTCTCACTGCTGTTCCACGGTATAAATTACCACTTCATCCAGACCAAGGGTGAGCACGTCGAAGCGTGGGCGATTTTATACTATATTACTCATCTTCTGAAAGGCGCCGTTCTCTTCATCACTATTGTGCTCATCGGTACGGGATGGAATTTTATAAAACACATTCTTTCGGATAAGGAGAAGAAACTCTTCATGCTGGTCATACCATTGCAAGTAAACATCGATGTCTTTTTCTTACTTGTAGGTTAAGCAATCAGTTCTTTCTTCTATTAGCACGTTAACTGCCCAATGAGTTTTGTGCGTATGTGTACACCACAGTAGAAGTTTTATTATCGTAAGGATATAATGATAAAATATTGTGCAATATGATTACACTAGGCTACATAATCACAAGTAATATATTGAGTTGCGCATTTTTCACTTAATGTTGTCATCCAGCAGTTTGTGACATTCAACACTTTATATTAGGTAACATTAATATTTTACGAGCATGTTAAAAATCTCGTATTAGTCACCGGTGACCATCAGGATATTACTAAAAAATTAGATGCCGATCACTGAATATTGCGGCAGTTGACGTATTAATATCGTTTCGGTCCCCAAAAACGCCTCAATTTAAACTAAATGTAAAATTATTAGAACTAAATTTAAAAGATGCAAAACTTCGTTCTTCAATCAATTTTAGTTGAAACACAATTTTAATATTCTTCTTTATTATCGAGGCATTAAAAATCGAAAACTTAAAGTGTGCAAATTGCATGTGCGCATATAATGAGCGTGATGTGGTAACAGAAATACATTTCTTCGTAGGTGTTGGCAAATGTGGCTGAGATAATAATCGAGGAGAGCGACGTGGGTAATTTACGTCGCGAGACTTCGCGGGATATGTTCATACTTGTCGATTTGGTGTGTTGTGGCGCAATTCTATTTCCGGTGGTGTGGAGTATTAGGCATTTAGAAGAGGTTGCCCGCACGAACGATAAAGCGGCGATGAACTTGCGCAAGCTCATGCTATTTAAGCATTTCTACATTATGATAGTCTTCTACATATACTTCACTCGTATTATAATGTACATACTCAAGGTACGCGATTTCGTGATTTACGGTGATTTGCACGTATCAATCTTACGATTACGGTCGCGGGTCACGAACCGTTCTTTGATGTATGACGAAAAATTTTGATAACCGTCTTCCCTTCGTAGATTACAGTGCGCTTCGACTACCAATGGCTCGATGAAACGTTCCGAGAAATGGCAACCTATGCATTCTTCGTTCTAACAGGCTACAAATTCCGACCAGCGTCCGCGAATACGTATTTCACGGTACCGAGTGATGAAGTAGAGCCAGACGACGAGGATGACAAAACTGATGTCGTGTATGTATCGAGATAACCTGTCATGTATAGATTGTCATCAATCCTCGCATTCTCTATTTCTTTCCAGAAAATAAAAAAAAAGATTCTCGTAAAAATTTATTTAAACTGTATCTAATTAATGCATGAGAGACTTAATGAGTTCGTTTACCGAATACAGCAAAGTGATATATTTGCGTAATAATAAATAACTGTTATGAATAATAGCAGCCTTGCTCACTTTTACTCCATTTGAAATCTTTTTAATGTTTCGGTGTCTTTTTCAGCATTTCCGGTGGTAATGGAATCAACAGGGATTTCAGTACAGTAAGTAAAATGCCGAGAGCGGTGAGGTCTGCGACTTCAAAAGTCCCATCTACTGAAGAGGAACGGCACGCTCTTTTCCACAAATCCTCTCGCGAGTACGACTGAGGATAAATCGTGATAGACCACATTTTGCGACGATTGCGCCTATAATTTGCGAATCTTTCAGGCTGTCTTTGAGGCTTTAGGATTGAAGGGACAAACGAGAGCGCGACAATAGGCGAAACAAGGGTGAACTGAATATGTGAGAGAGAGAGAGAGAGAGAGAGAGAGAGAGAGAGAGAGAGAGAGAGAGAGAGAGAGAGTGTGTGTGTGTGTGTGTGTGTGTGTGTGTGTGTGTGTGTGTGTGTGTTTCTTATTGTCAAATTTATGTTACATTTTCTCTCGTTAGAGGAGGAAGGAGAAAAGGAAAGAAAAATACTTTGTATCCGCAAATGTACTAAGTTTTTCAAATAGGTGAGCGAGGAATAGAAATGAGCAAAAGACCGCCGATTGTTGCAACGCAACACTATTAAATTTTCAATGAAAGAAAATGCAAAATCAATTGAAATTTATAAAGTACTTAAAAAGTAAATCACAAATGACTGTCTTTTTCAAAAGGTCAAGGTATTTAAATAATGTAACATGTTCAAACACAAGGATAAGAATGAATCACACAAAAATAACTCGCCAATGTACTCGCTTAACGATTATAATGTGAATTGCGTTAATGATTTAACGCGGAACATGCAACAGCAAAATTAAAAATATTTTATAAATTAGCATTGGCAGAATTGAATTCATCATATTTGTAACAATTTAAAATACAGGAAATGCTCAATCATACACGGCCAAAAAGTTATAGAAGTCGGCAATTTGAGTCGGGATTCACTTTCACATTCTCTTTATAATTCAGATGTAGCTAGTGACTTTTATATCTGTTTTCAAAGTTGAAAACAGACTAGAGTGGACAATAATTAAAAAATGATGACAAAATTATTTTGGAAACGTGCAAAATTAGATCCACATTTAACCGAAAACCATTTTTCAACGAGGATATAAAAAAATTTTGTATTGCATACGCATAGCGATGAGTAATCGTGGCTTATTCACGATCGAGATGCTTCATATTTTAACAGGGTAACTTTAGTATATGCATTTCACTCGATCGCGGATTTCTCAATCCTCTTCCGCTTTCGTTGTCCACCGTTCAATCCAACATTAGTTGAGACATTTCTTGTTTAGCTTCTCTCTTTTTCCTAGTGAAATATTCGATTAGGGTAACTGCTCATCTTGACGTTCCACAATATTATGCAATGTTGCGATTTCTAACGTGAAAAATGCGAGCGACGATACGAGCGCCTTTTTCGACGCGCCTTTTGTAGTCGGTTTTCCGTAGGCATTTAGAGAAACATTTCCATTTTCTGTTTTCCCATGACGCACGCGCTGAATATTTTCTTGGTACGAGAATCCCATCTTGTGCGGACACTTTTGTATCGCGATTCGTAATTTTACTTTTAGACAAGCGACCGAATTAAACGGTACAATAAACTTATCTAACAATATGTGTCCTCTCGCGATATTATGCGATACTATTGTACTAGGATTAATGTAATTATCAATGGCGGATCTATTGGTACAATAATGAAGCTCAGCTTCCTAATCATAAGAGTATACAAAAATTTATAGCTCGCAGAATGTGCCGAAATGTATTGCTTTTAAGTCGTGACGTTTGCAATGTTCTTCTTAGTTTTGAAATGTACGTTCGTTATTTTGTTAATTACTAATTATAGATCTATAAATTCGTTATATATTGCTAAATCTAACTTTCTTTGAGAAGAGATCTCCGTAGGAATATTAATCTTTTAGAAACATTAGACAGACCACTGAAAAGATAGATCCGCGATTGACTATGGTACTTACTATTATATACACACATTGTCGTTACATTCAGGGTCATGTCTACCTATAAACACTAGCTGAAAGTTCTAACTAGCAAAGATGTTGCCCCATCGAAGGTAAACACGGCCTTGGTTACACCTGTTATACTTATATAACTTATGTCGTATATATCGATTGGGACACGCAGAGTTGAGAGAATAAAGCGGATATTTTTATGAATATGCTCTGTTTTATTTCTTCCTCCTGCTCCATATGTGTATTTGCACGTGATTAGGTACAATGTGAAAAAATTATATATAAAATTACAATTATTATAGTGGATAATATTGAGACCATCTATTAAAGGTGTGTATCTACATACGTCAGTAAATTTACACCTTGTAGGTAAAAATTATTACCTTATGTAATAAGTAACTGTGTGCTTTTAATTGTGTAAGTTTTGCAATTTTTTGTAATTTTTCGTCATGTATAAGTATTTACACAACAAAGAGTAAAGAAAATTGTTTTGTAAAAGTACATTTTATATATTTCCGTTATTAATAATATAATCGCTACACTTATCAAGTATGTAATTTTATATACTTTTTTACAGTGTATCATACACGATAAAGTACTGTCGGAAATTTGCAATTTCTTCGCGTCAACAATGAGACTTGAAAACCAGAAAGAAAATCATTGATTTGGTGAAGGTTAATCTGTATTTATTTCAAGAAGCTGAGTAAACGATTGAGAATTTTAGTAGCCGACTCAGTGCTAACGCAAAACTTACTTAATCCCTCTGCAGCACCGTTATTTTTCATTTCCTGGCCCGATGTGCGCATCTACCCTTAAATACGTGAAAAATATCTCGATGACGACTAACATCACCAAGCTCGCTCCTAGTGAGCGAAGGTAATCCTTTCACGTTTCTCGTCTGCAAGAAAAACGAACGTGACGCTCGATGAGACGGGAGTCGTTCCCGTTTTTCCGGTAGAAGATTAAAATCATGCGATGCGGGAGCGTCATCAAGTACATTAAAAAAAAAACAAGGAGCGCCCGATAAGAGTCAGTGCATGATGACATCGAGGTGCGATCAAGTAGTTTATCCGGAATTTTACATTAGATAAACCTCTCGATTAAGATATCTTAGAAAATAAAACCGTAATAAAAAATCTAATAGCACTTTAAATATGAACCAAAAGTATTCAAAGAAATGTATGATGCAAGATGACAGTCAAATTAAATTATAGGTAATATAAATTATATGAAGTGAAACTTTTGGATCGCTAAATCAACCAAACGATAAAAAAAAAAACCATTTTTGATCAAGCTAATTTTGTCTTCTTGACCGGACAATATTGTAGTGAATTTTCTATACCTTTTTCAACATTTTAACTGTTGTTTTAATTGCTGATTATTTATCAGTCTTGAAACGTAATCCGTTGGAACAGTAACTCCGAAAAAAAAGGATAGCTTTTCCCTATGTCGTCGGACCTTTAAGCCTCTAATAAATTAAATTGGCGACGAGTTAGTCGGCAGTTAGACTCAAGTCAATTTACATTTCATGGTAGAGGCGCGAACAGAGGTGCGATAAAGTACATTTACAATGACGCTGTTTTTCATCGCTTTCGTCGTATACACGTACGTTTTTACGGTTGCCATAAACGCCGCCTGCGGTTTTGCATTGAAACGCGCGAGGGGGAGAATTGTCAGTTCACCTTCGCAAGGCGCGAGTGTAGAGGCGAAAGTTAAAGAGATCCTACGAGATCGGGGCCTCCCGTGCGCAGTTTCCGCAGCGAGCATGCTGAGGAAAGAAAGGAAGAACTTGGGGCGTAGCTGGTACAGTTTTTACACAGCGAACGTATGGTAGCTGAAAAATATTTTATGCTTTGGTGTTGCGACTGACTTGCGTTTATAGATCGTATATTTCGTCAATTTACTGATAAAAGAAAAATATTCCTTTCACGGCAGCAAGTATTCGTGCCATGTATGAAAAAAAACACTTAAGTCTAATATACAATGTATTTTCGCAACGAGAAACATTCTATTGTATTTTAAACAGGCGAATCGGTACGCTTAAAATTTGCCGACGATGCACGATTGTGCAATGTATAATATTCAGGTTATCAGCTAGCACAAGCTTTTTAAACGTGTTTATTGGCTACAAAATAGAATGTTTCTAGACGCAAAGAGCATAGACAGATATTAGATCAGGCTTTAACGAGACAAGTCGGCGATAATGTCAAGAGAATTAGGTGTCGATGCGGTTGAGTGGGGCGACCCAATAAACGTCCAAATTTAATTAATAAACGTAGCGGAACTATCGGGGTTAAATTTCGACAGGAGGTGAAGACGGCATCTTCGCGCAATGTCTCGAATTTCATAGGAATTCAGCCCAACGTGGCAAGGGCCAATCCCGGCGAGCCCGTATTTACGGGATCGTCCAACAGCCCCTAGAGAACTATCCTTTCCTGTCACGCACACATACTGTTCGGCAAACCCTCGCGTGCTCGATTATTTCAACGGTCTGTCACAAAGTGGCGGTGACGGCAGCAATATTCGGCGCGACGGATTTGCGACAGTTTATTTCGGCTGGATATTGCGACAGGTATTTACACAGCAAATTCGCACGTCGAAATAAAACTTGCGAGAAACGTCCGTCGAGCTCGGAATTTGCCTGCACCCTCGTAGACGACCCGGCGTATGGAACTATATCAATTTTTAGCGGAAAACAAGGGGGTCATTAGTTCTTCCTTATAATCCACGGCGGACAGCAGCTCAGTATTTTTCGTCTCGTTAGATTCAATTTCGGCTGGATACCCGGTTAAATGATCTAGTATTACGCCCTAACGCTATAATTATTGAGTATACATATATAATTTCTACTATTTCAAAATATTACATATTTTTTTCACAAAAAGAAATAGATCAATTTAATCATTTACACATTGTAAATAATGTAAAAGCTATTAGAAAATGCAATTTCACAAATTTGAGTCGTTTGACGAGAAATTATAAATCAATTACTTTGACCACTTGAGCAGTTTTAACGTTTAAAGTCGATACACTTGCTGTTTACTTATGCTTTATGTTCATCTTCTTTAGAGGCATTATCTTATTCATGATTTCCGATCGTAGAAGAAACTGGTACCGTAATCGACGACGGACAACTGGATCTCGTGAAATCGCGTAATGCGAAAACGCTAATCAATTTCTTTTCAACGCGGTTATTGAAGTATTATCGAGTGCATGAGTATCTCTGGGAGAAAGAGGTGTTCTACGATAACGACCGCTCGTGGTTGTGATACCTTAGTGAAACGTATAGGAATATTATGATAAAAGAAATATCGATTCTACGAGGACTTGCAGTAGTAACTCGTAGTGTTCGGAGATACGCAGAAATCTCTTTTCGTGAGTTCTCCTCGCCCTTCGTTGCGGACCCCATACCGAGGCACACGGGTTCTTAAGTTCTACTCCCCGTGGATCAAGCGCATAATTCACTCTCCATTTTGGCCGAAGTAGTCTCACGTGCCACTCTCGGCGAGCTCGAAAATCTTTTCGTGCGAAACACAAATGCTACACGGACTCCTTGCTGTTACAACGTGTGATAAACATTGAGTTGTGACACGTGTAAGTTAAAATGTATCCAACATTTATTTTTAGATTTAGTTGCTTATTATCACTAATTTGCTTTGCAAATTGTTTCTATTATTTTGTTTCTTAAGTTGCGACTGACAATAAGTCCGGAATTTATGAAATGTAAAAAATTAATAAAGTTCGAAAAATCGGGAATCCATACGTACACATATTGTATATCGCATGTAAACTTGAGATAAACATAATAATGTCAAGTAAACAAAAGAGGCCAATTTTTACGAGCATAAAAATTGACAATATAATATAGATTTGTAAAAAATCCAAGATGTTACATTGAAATATAAGATAGCGGACGCGTTTCGGCACACAGTGCTTTCATCAGCGCAAAATGAAAATGAAATAGTTAAATCACCTAGTACATAATTGTAAGTAATACAAAGTTGATCAGTTGAAATAGACAGGATTAGTCAAAAGTTAAAAACGTTGCTGAGGCAAGTGGACGCAACGGTTGTGGTCAATGCTTTGTGGAGACAACTTCGCGCTGATGAAAGCACTGTGTGCCGAAACGCGTCCGCAATCTTATGTTTCAATTGTAACATCTTTGCTTTTTTACAAATATATATTACAATGTCATCTTTTATGCTCGTAAAAATTGGCCTCCTTTGTTTACTTGTTGTACAATAATGTATTTAAAAAATCCAACATTCCCTTTGAATAACTTTCTAATCAATAATTTTTAAATCTCTGTTAAATTTTGTGTTAAAAAAACTGTGGTAGGAGAATGTGAAAAGACAGCATGAGTCATGAACGTCTCGAGGGTATACAAATGGAGCGTCTAGGGATGTAAGAAACATAAACGCGCCACTGTCACCCCTTCTCTTCATCTTATTTCCAACTTTCTCCATTTACGTCATAGTTAGAGCCGCGACTTACTGTTAGAAAGGGATGCGGAACGCTGGAATTAGCTAATATTCCGAGTTAGAAACTACCTCGGATTAGTCGATCAAGGCTATCATGGGTAACTGACCCTTTCGTGAAGCACAAGCTGGAATGCTGAAAGTTCGACGGCGGATCATCGAAGAATCCGCTCGTGGAAAGCTGCCCCACGCAATTTACGGTGCCGATATACAGGACGACACCCTCCTCCCCGTGGTCGTTGAGCGAAGGTGGTTACGAGCCATAAATCTCAATCCTTCGCAGTCTAGGGTAACGGCGTCTAGCTGTCCAGGTAGCCCAGACGAACATCATCTCGTCCCCCTCTCATTGTAAAAGTTACCGTGTGTCGCGCGATTAAAGTAGATTGCAAGGGCATCGACTCGACTCTTGTTAAAGTCTACACCCTGCGTAAAGTTTTTATCGCAGAACGTCCTGCGCGTGAAATAACACGTTAATTACACAGATGGGCGAGAAATTTCGGCGCTTTCGACAAAAATGAGTTTCTTTATAATAATTGTGACGTATTTCAGAGGTAAATTGCCTCCATTTGTGCCCTCAGGGGGGGGGGTGAGACAGACACCCAGAATACAAATCGGAGTGTGTCCTGAAATTTATATATATTTTATTCGGCAACAAATCTTCGAAATTACATAGATTTCATTCCAGAACAGATCCTTGATATTGCGTATGTTTTATTCCGGAATAAAAAAAAAACGTAAAATATCTCATACAGTATTCAGATTTCAGCCATCTCTCACTCTCCTACTTTTGTATGCACGCGGAGCATCTAGAAAAGATAGAAATGGACCTTAAACGAGACCTTAAACCTCACAAAAACCGGCTCTCCATTTTTTCCGACTGAAATTCTTTTGGTCAAAAAAGTGTTACCCTTTGGTGCTTTATTGTCCCGACTACGGTGTCGCCATGCATTCCGCGTAATGAACTCTGCTCCAATTATCATTCTTCCGTGTTACGCTATTTCGCAAGTTTATCCGTCATGCGGAGGCACTCCCGAGTGTTTCCCAAGCCGGGCGGTGGCACCGAACGTATGAATATCAGATAAGAGCTCGCGCCGTGGACGAGCGAGTGCAGAGGACACGATTAGATTAAGGTTTAGTATATTTATAGAACTCCGCGTCGTGATTAGCGTCATCTTGTTACCCACACTTCGTACCGTCGTCTTATTAATTTCACCTCACCGCCGCCGTCACGGATTTTAGCCACTCTCGCGTTTTCGCATCTCGGCCGAAGGGGACGCGTATCTGATCTTCCAACTCCGTACGAGTTGATCCGATTTTACGGATCTTCCGGGGCACTTCCGCATTCGACGATATCGCGAAAGGTTTCCGCGAGCACCCTAATGTTGCCAGGAGGCATCGTCCTTACCTCTTTCTTTCTTTCTTCTCCTCCCGTGCCGTTTTTCTTGCGAACCTCTGGAGCCGAAGCGCGACGCATGCGTCAGATGGTCGGAACCGTCTGACTCGTGCACTCGTGAAAATTCTCCAGTTGGCGCCGCGACGCGCTCGAAGGAGCTCTTGTTCGTTCGACGAGTATTCCGGGGAAGCGACGACGAGCTTGTCGCCTGGCCCGAGGGGGGAAAAAGGCTCCAGGAGAAGCGAGGGAGCGTACGCGAGAAATAGTTTCCCCTCCCTCTCCGGAAATAGCGCGTGCGATTCGATCGCGAGAGATGCTACTATGCAACCGACACGCATCGCGAGGTAATTATGGTATCATTATTGTTTGGGCCCGTTCTGATTCGCCAAGTCAATCGAGACGGCCCGGCACACGTGTTTTCAATCGTCCGGCGCGAAACAATATGCTCATCGTACGCGGCGTGCATTTTGCCGCAAGCGCACAGGCGCTGCAATTTGCCGGGAAGGATGCATGTCGAGCAATTTCTAATTCACGAGTGAAGATAGCGTACAATCAATTACATTAATTAGCGAGCTGCAAGGAGCTACGTTATTAATAAGGAGCTAATGTTAATTTATTGTTCGTATTAGTGCACGTTTTCTTCCCCGTTCCTTAATTAGGGTAATTAAAGGCAAACGCGGTGAAAAATTGCGACAGCGACAACTGTCAGTTATTATTCATTTAATCACGTGCCCTGCGTTTCGAATATACGACGATTATTTGTCTCCTGTCACGTAAAAATTCTCACGGGGACAATTCCATTACCTAACAAGACGTTATCGTCCCACTTCTATTTCAAATAGATTACTTCGAGCAGCACAACGCCCGGTTTCGTCACAGTTTCAGCAAATCGAACGAAAACCCATCGAAAAAGGTTCGGGCACAGCGCGGAATTTAATTAGCTATCACGCGCGTTATAAACGGCCGCGGCTTGAAATTAATGTTTTAGCCGATATAGAATATTTAAAGGATTACCTCCGCACCGCGATTGTATCATGTAGCGGGCAAGCGGGTATATGACGCAAATTAAAACGTAACGCGGCTTTCAGCGCGGCAGGTCACACGCGCCCGAATATTCGCGCCGGTACATCCCGCGCCAGCGCGAATATTTATCGTCGTAAAGAAGATTTGCGCGTAAAAATGCATAGCGGCGGTTACTAGAGAGACGTGCGTTGCATCGATGATGCCGCGTGAAATTAGATTCGGCTAAAAGCGCGCCCGACTTTCGGCGAAAATCACTTACAATAAAATCGCGTGTACGTACGTATGCAAATTTACTAGAAATATATGTAATAATAATATATAACATTATATAATGTTAATTTGCACATAATATATATTGCATATCAAATTGCATGTATTTTTTTCTTCTCAATTGTTATATTATATTATTGGCGGCAATTGACGCCTTAATAATAATTGCAATATCTTTATACGAGATCTCTTCGTACTAACGTTGCATCCGGTAAAAATTGGTAGGTTTACCCTTGTGCTTCTTCACTTTACGAAAAGAATGCAGGGACATGCGCATGCTGTCTTTTGTGACGAGTATTTAAGAACTTGATGTAGAGGAAACCTATTGCAAGATAGGCTCCTAATATGAAATAGCGGAGTTTCTGCCAAATTAATAGACGTCATCTTGTACACCATGAATTTATTGCCCTTGGAGTGAAGTCTGTTTAATGGAATATTGATTGTTGGATCGTGTAATCGTTGCGAAAAAAGATTCGCGATTGAATTTGGACGTTGAAAACCTTACTATTACACATTAGTGTCCTATTTCGTAATAGAGGACTTTTCTCTACTGCTCCACACGGAAAGAAACATGTAGCTGCCGTAGCTAAAGACTGCACGTGACAACTAAATTTCAGTTGTAGAATATGGACAGCTAGTAGTTAGTTGCGATAGCTAAATATTTTGCTCTGTGCCTATTGTATTAGGTGCGACAGCAAATCGTTTGCTGTGGATTAGAAACTTATAGTTATGGCAGCAAAATAGTTTTAGCAAACCATGATTAGCTACAGTAGCGAAAATTTGTTTTCCCGTGCATTTAACCATTTAATCCGTTTTCTATGCGTCATTTATTGTATATCGACTCAAGTGCACAATTTCCGCGGAATGAACATTAGGCTATGCGAAAGAGAATTCGACTCCGAAGCGCCATCGTACTTCGCTTCAAGTCGAAGCTCTCTTCACGAACGATCGAACAGGGGGCGAAAGAATTCGGGTGATGAATGAAGATTGTTGTCCAGAATAAAGCGAAAAGACAGGTCAGGTCGGTGTTGCATGTTTCGAAGGATTTCCTCGAATGCGCTCACGAGCGGAGATCCTTGTCAGCGCAAGTGCCTTTATTTCACCGAGTTTAAAGTTCGCCGGCTTGTCCGTATCATTTGCCGCGACGATACCTCGAACCCCGCACGAGCTCGCTCGTGCAAGGACGAGACCGTGAGTATTCGTTTACTCGGATACTCGCAAAATATGACGACACTGAGAAAACTTTCCATCGGATAAACCAATTAAATAGTGTTTCCGATGGTGCATTTTTCCGATTACGTTTTCCGATTAAAATCTGGATACATCCGATAAAATTTATCCGACGAGATGCAGTTACCGATGAAACTTGATTGAAAAACCGATCATAGTTTTTACCGGATATACAATTTGATCGAATATATCAGTTTGTTATTATGCGATAGGATTACCCGATTATATTTAATCGGACATTTTTGCCAGCGGAAGAATGCACGCGTCATATTCGTTGTTCTAAACGCGGCTCGTGGTAATGTCGAGCACGCGACCGTACTAAACGGATAAATGACGGAAAGCGTGTATCTTGTGTTACCTTTAATGCGAACAAATGCACAGATTCGCGTAGGGGCGCGCACACACCGACAGTACGCTAACACCACCGGACTTCGGCTACGTTCAGCGTAGCTCGCAGTTATCATCACAATGTTCCGCGTGCTTCCCGAGAGATCGGGAAGCACGACTCGTGTATGGCGGGGGCCTGCGCTTGTGCACGTGCGTACGTACAATAGCGGCATAATAGCGCGGACGAACGATAAGCTAATAAAGTCGGGGTCGGCGCTCGTTAACGTCCCTTTTTTATCGCGGGAACGTGCCCCGCCGAGAGCGTAATTATTACTATCGCGGCGGCGAGACGATTTAATCGTGGCGTCACGCTGCAACTTGTGCATCGGACAATCTTACGAGCCCGCTCCAACCCTCTCCCACGTCCCCGTTTCAGCCCTCCCCCTCCGTACCGCCGGACTCGCGTTCACGGCTATTCGGAATCCGCCCACGACCCGTGCGGCGGACGAGAAAAAAAAATTTTTTTCTCCCCATTTGGTTCTCGCGTCGAACTTAAATTAAAAATGTTGGCGGGTGCGACGTGACGCGAATGAATTCCACTGTTGGTACACGAATGCGTCATCATGTATTATCTCGACCTGAGTAACAACAGGCGTTACTAGTCGAGAAAAAAAAGAAGGGGGAGAGAGAGAGAGAGAGAGAGAGAGAGGGAGAAAAGACATAATAGAAATTCATAACGTTGTCGATGTTGGGGGGCTCCAAGTACGATATCGTGTGCGTGTCGAAGAAAAAGGCGAGGAAGCAATAAGGGTTGATTAGATGCCTGGCGGGAGGTTATAATATCTCCGCTCAACGTGACATTAATAATGCATTAACGACATCGACGAAGAGGTTGAATGCAACAAAAATGTCAGTGTGGCGACCAAAAACTTGTTTTTCACGAAATGTTATAATTTTCTCTCTCGCGTCCCTTTACTTTATAAATCATATCAGCTAATTTCGCATTGAAGAAATTTCTGTTACTTCATTCGTCAGTTTTATCGCTCTGTTTTATTTTACAGTCACTTGTCCGTTGTTTCTTCTGATCGAAATATTAACAATTTAATTTAGCCACGAATGTAGAACAAAGAATAAGAAGGAAAGTTTTAATTCTAATTAAAGAATTGAAGTTCTTAACTTTACGTGAGTTTCAAAATTTATCACGAAAATTAGCGACTAAAGAGAGAAACTTTAAAACCAATCTCTTTTTTTAGACACAAAATACACGAAAACAGAATAAATTCCTATCATTTTTTATTAAAGGTATTACTTTTGCGAAGTTTTGGATTCTGTTCTCTTTTCATTTGGATATTTCAAATATTAAGCTTACTAAATCCAGATTCTGCGATAGCTTGATATATAATATATATAATATATAATATATGTATCTTATCAGTCTGTAACAACTGTTGTTAGTATTGCGTAACCGGTGCGCGAAATAGTCTTCTCTCGCAAAATCGGGATTCCCCAGACACCTTTTATCAGCGTGAAAAACATTCGTCGTCGTGAAAGCTCGCGTAATCACGTTTTAGCCGCCATTGAGGATAATTGCTCGGAGCTCTAAGCAGATCTAATAAGAAATTCCCGGAGCGCGCCGACCTTGCGTAGCTAATTAAAAACTAAATTTGCTAAAATTTCCCCGCGCGCCAGCCGGGAGTCTTCACGGACGGTCGTACCCTTGTACCGAAATGGAAATGAAAAGTTCCCAATTTTCCAGGGTGGAATCTCAACGTCGCAAATATTTCTTATGTAATCTTCGAACGGGTCGACTTCATAATAACTGCAGCCACGAGAAATGATTAAAAAATTGGGACCTACATTGGTATAGAACGTAGAATTTCGC